TCTTTCTCCCCTGGCCTTGAGACTTTTTTCCTGGGTTGCTATTGAACTGTCGACGTTCGCCGGCTGTTTTTGAATGCTCGGGTTTCCTTGCCCACTGATTCGCTTTTTCTCCGTAGCCATGTGCTTGAGTTTGCTGTAGTCTTGGCGTACCAAATTGGTTTCGCTGTTGATATTGGCGTCTTCTTTCGACGTCCGCCGTTCTTCTACTTTCAAACTGGATTGCTAGCTCAAATAACTTTTCCAGTGTAGTCGGATTTCTTCAATTCAATAAAGTCTTGCACTTGGGGTAGTAACCTCGGCAAAATCACTTGAATTATTTCAGGATCCGGACGGTTTTCCATACAAGAGCTTGAAAACGTGAATTTTTCTTAAAATAAAGCTTCGAGATTTTCCGATTCGTTACTGTTGATATATGCTGAAAAGTTCCTGTTTCTAATTTCGCACGATTTCCCTTACAACAGGGAAGGCCTTTAGTAGGGCAGTCTTGAAATTTTCGTAAGTATAGGTGGGACTTCCTGCTTGACCCAAGAGACTTTCTTGCCGATACATTTGAACCAGTTAAGCGCTTGGCCCCTCAAAGCGCTGGTAGCTAAGGTAACTTTTTGAAACTCGTGCACGGGGTAGAGCATGAAGTGGTCATCCAATTTTTCCAAAAAACTGGTTACCTGTGAGTTTCCATTAAACGTTGCTTCTGGTTTCATCGAAGCGCGCATGGTCTGGACAATGTACCCAAATCCTTCCAGGGCGGCAGCTGGCATTTCTGGATTCTGAGCTGTTTCTGCAGGCAGCACAGGTTCTTCTTGAAACTCGGCCATGGTTATTCTTCGTCGGGCGCCACTATCAGGTTCAATGTTTAACCTTCTTCGGAAACATACAATGACCTGACTAGAACAGAGAGCTTACTAAAGCTATGTTCACTAATTGTAGTAAGTAGACAGGATACAGACGAAGGGTATACAAAACCCTTTATTTTTTCTTTATATACAATGACTTCCGTACTTCGGAATACAATGACCCTCCACTCGGGGTCTAACTTAAAAGATATCAAAATAAAACTAAACTCTAATTTAACTTAAGAATAAGATTGGCCTTATAATAACAGGAAGCGTATGTAGCACAGAGACTGTGAACACTACAATACGTTTAATTTATCAAGAGGATTAAAACCTCTGGCCTGGAAGGCAAAGTAGCAACTGCGTAACTTCTAAGGTAAGCGGCCTGCTTCGAACTCACGGCTTCCTCTCCTCTGCTTGGCAAAAAGGCCACACTTAAATACTTGGCGTTCGCCAGACAACTTTGCATAAACTCCTTCACGCTTATAATTCTGGCCGGAAGTAGAAAATAAGAAGTGATAGTAAAGATTTAAAATAAAATAAACGTTAGTAAAACTTAAGATCCTTACAAGTCTAGATATTGTCTTCCAAGTGAAGCTATTATAATTGCCACGTGGTAAGCTTAGCTTTGCATACAAGAGTGCATTCATAAGTAGAATTTGGTTTTTATTAACAACGCAAAAATGCACATTTTATAATGATATTTTGCATCAGAAAATAATAATAGTGTATAAACAAAACTTAAATAAATAAATACATTGCTACGAAATGCCCAGCCGCCGTAAATTGGCTTCCCTTCAAATCAGGTTTAGGGTTGCCATAAAATGGCAAGGAGAGGCAGGGTTACCAGATTCTGCCGGAAATAGCCCATTTAGCGACAAAATTGGCTATATGCCATAGACAGATGGAGAACCTTCTGGAACGAATTCTTACCGATTTGGCCCAGAACGTTCTCGAACGGAAGCCAAAAGCTATATATACCCTGTCTGTACACGGAGTAGCAGTCAGTCAGTGAGTCGATCTCGAGTCTATCGAGTAACTCGTAGTCTAGTGTCGTCGACACATATGGCGAGTTGTGCATCGTTGAGGCTATCGAGTGTATCGTCGACTATATCGCGAGCTGGAGCGTGGGGAGTCGTAAGAGTACGTTGAGTTCCGAGAACGACCAAACAGAGTCGGGAGCTGGGAGCTGTACTCTGGTGCTTTGCCGTGAAGCTGTGTTCTCAGTGATAGCCTGATGCCCTGAATGCTGTGTTGCTGACTGTGCCAGCGTATTTGTCGTAGTTTTCCGACGACTGTAAATGTGTTTTTGGAACTGTTCCGAGTAATACTGGATAATAAATTGTGTTTGAATTCTTCAAGTGTCGTTGTTAATCACTCCCAATCCGCGGACCTGTACAGAAACTCAACAATATGTCTTGGGGCTCTTCGGGAAAAAAAAAAAAAAAAAAAAAAAAAAAAAAAAAAAACCACTTTTAGGATGAGAGTGGTTTTATTGGAATCACAAATCAATCACATGGCTTTAAAAATTAAGTCATAGAAAAAGGTCAAACATATTTTTAAAAAATTAATGTGTTTGTACAAAACATTTGTACAAAATGTTTCAGTTAGGTAGAGACATTGATGTTGGAACTGATGCACTCAGCAAACGTTTTTTTAGCTTTAATGATCTGACTGAACTTTTCTTAATTCCAATTTTTAAATATAGCAGTTTTTCATTGAAAGACAGTATTTATTTTGCTTAGTATTTTCTGTATTCGATCAGCAATAAAAGAAGCTATAGTTGATGTTTGGGAACATTAAGAAGTTATAGTTGATGTATGGGTGATTAAGAAGCTATAGCTGATGTTTGGAGAATTATTTTCAATTAATTCTGAACTATTGTTGCCAGAAAGAGTCTGCATTGCTTATATATGTAGTTTTTTTTAATAAATTGCTAACAAAGTTGCATTAAATAAAGTAATAAATAATGTTTTTCGGCATGCTTATATATGTTGTGATTTTAAATAAATTTCTTACAAAATTGCATTAAAATGATAATTAACGCAATTTATATTAAAATTATACGTATGCATATATTAAATAACTTCTGTAGTACAGATTATGAAAGAATTTCCAGTTTATCTTTTACCGTAGTCAATTTTGTTTACGGAGATGTAAATAACATTTGTTAAGAAATCGCAGTTTCATATAAGCCCGAATTGAGCAAATTGCGTTTTCTCTCGCCAAAGGCGTTACAAAAGCCAAGTACCCATTCATGCTCCTCAATCTCAGAAATTTTTTACTTTAATTCTGCCAAGAAATTGATAAATATAAAATTTAGCAAGATTCATGACTCAAATTTGTGCATAAAAGGTACAAAAAGGGCTTGGGAAGGACAAAGGATTTATGATATTCTAAATACTTCTCGCGCAACAACTATTGCATCATTCCCTCTTTTGACTGTATATGATTTCCTCAATGCTTATCTATTGTACATTATTTTTTAAAATTATCCATTGTAGTTTCTCTGACAATCTGGACAATCAAATGACAAAGAATATTTTACGATATAATTCGGGTTTAAGAGTTTTATTTTTGTTACCCAGCAGCATTGGGAAGTAAAACGTCTAATGGCTTAGGTGCTAAAAGTTAGATATCTGTAAATAAATAAATAGTTTTTTGCACAAAACAGCATTGATTTACGATACGCACTTCATCCCTTCTTACATTTTCAAAAAGTTTAGAAAATTAAAGATACTGAAAGTTCTTATTCTAATGACGCTATGTGTTCAAAGTTGTAATATGCAATAGTAATTGTTTGAATATACATGACACAGATATGGGAATTTTTTTTAAATCATTCTGTGCTTAGCCTTATTCTTCATTACATAGTCACCCTACATACGTGCATCATCCTATAAATATGTATAGAGCTTTTAAGAAAAGTTCATGACATTTTTATTTTTATAAGAGGTATTTACACATTTTTAGAACGATTCCGATACAGAATTAAAGGAAGCAAATATTTTGGAATAAAAATTTCGGCCAACAGCTTATTATCTGAAATAAGAATATCGTCTTCAATTTTTAAACTTATTCTTCTTTCAAAATGTTGCATGCAAACAAGCCGTAGATTAAAAGACACGTTTTTGCACTTCCCGAAGAAAAAATATTTCTATTCCATAATTCGAAAACGTTCTGAAAGGCATGGTATTAAATTTATAAGTGCAAAATAAGCAATATTATTAACCGGAATGGTAAAAACCGTCAATCATTATTTCTACACGGAAAAAAAGACTCCAGACGTATATCCCCCACCCCCAAAAAAGGAACGGGCTGTTTCTAATGTTTCTAAAGTTAAATCGCTGGTGACGAGAAAATCTGCCGACGCAGAAATCAGTTGCAAAGTATGTCTTTAGCAACAATGAATAAAATAATAAACCAAGATTCACAACTTAGAAAAGCTAAAAAACACAATGTTAATCAACTTTAGCCAAATCAAGGGGATAAACGCAAAGCAGTTTCTGGAACACTGTATGAAAATTATTTAACAGGAAATAAATGGAAACGCATTGTGACACTCGATGAGGCATGGGCTTATTTAAGTGATTTCAACAAAAACAGGTGTATTTATTATGGCAAACGAGGAAAAAATGCACAAAACTTGGTTCCGTCAATGCAAGCATCAGTAAAGGTTTCTTGATCGAGTGCAAAAAGCTGTTAAATTCAACTCAGCATATCATCTAGAGAAAGTTCTACGTCCGATAGTTACAAAAGAAATTCCATTTACTTACTCCAATGACTTTCAGAGAAGGAAACGTCACCAAGGGAAAAAAACAAGTCATAGTACTGTCCCTTTGATCTATTGAGAAGAGCCTTTTCTAAGCGATCACCATGATTGATGGTTTCGGTAGTAGTGAATAAGGAAGAAAATCAAATGCCTTGGAAATTTTACGAAGATCCCTTGTACCATGGACATCACGATGCAGACTTATAGTCCAAGAAAAATCTACCTGATCGATTATTAAAAAAAATACTCTATACGTTTTAAATATTAATTAAACAGTCCCGAAATTGTTCTAAAAATGTGTAAACAACTTTTATATTTTAAGAATACTTTCAATTTAATTTACATTATAATGCAAAACATCATAATTTTAAATTAATGCATCTTTTTTTGCGTAGAAATACCACAGAAATCTATCGATGGAGATCAATGTCCTCCGAAACCAATAGACTGCGAAGAGCTTCTTGTGAACTGCGGATTTACTGAATCTGGAATTTATCGCATTTGGCCTCGAAGTCGAGTTCATAGTGAAGGCGATGCAGGATTCGACGCATTTTGCGACATGGATACCGACGGAGGCGGCTGGACAGTAGGTTTCACATTTCATGACATTAAGCTTTATTGCAGAAGAAATTTAATATGAACAACTACTGGTTATTTCAAGAAACCGATTACCTTAAGATCTTCGTGGCATTGTTTTAAAACAACCTTTCTAGTTTGCAGGCTGAGAAATAACAAAGTTAAAATGCCATTTGAAATATACTTTTATAAGGTATTTCTCCTGCCTTCCTAGCGTGCCTTCGTAGTGGTTCTGCACACTGGGCCGGTATTCCAGAAGTCCGTGGTTCGATTCCCGGCGAAGGCGTTGCATATTTTTCATTTCTCTTGCTTCCAAAAAATACCTAATGTCTACACACTTACAAAAATAATCATGCTTTCATCTTAAGCCCAAAAGCATAAAAGTAAAAAATAAGCTCATGAGAATTCTTCGGGCTCTCACATGAGAAGCAAGTTCATATAAGGCAGTCATTAGTGGTACTATTGATACTTAAGTTCTGAGTATAGCTTTAAAATGTTTACAAGTGGAAATTATCCAAGCTTGTTCAAACAATACGCTATCAATAATGATAAATTTTGTTAGCCTAGTCATGAGTCGTATCCGACCCATCAATTCACCATCACACCATTTTATGTACATTGCTCAAAACAGTTAGGGGTATATTATAATTTTGGATATAAACTACGGATGAACTGTTTTGTGACTGTTATATGATGTATATGTGTTGTAAGTTCGGAGAAAAGAAAAAGAAGCAACGAACAAGGAATAATTAAATTTGATTGATAATATTTGTCGGTTAAAAAAATGCACAATTTGTGCATATTATGCAAACAAATAAATGTGGTTTCTGGGATGCAAATGAGTTTCGATAAGGAGTATGGTTTCCCCTGACCGAAAGCAATGTCGCACACCTACGAAGCATGGAATCAGTGAGACTATCAATGAGGGACTGAGGTATTCTCTTCCACTTCTGCAGAAGAGAGCTTTCAAAGTGCTGAATTGTTTCTGGGGGCGGATAAGCGACAAGCTGATTTTCTCCCAAGAGTGTCCCAAACATGTTCTATTAGGTTCATACCTAAGAAACACGTTGGCAAATCCATTCGAAGGATTTCTTCGTCGAAAAGGAAATTGTTCACTAGCTGAGCACGATGTGGCCTGGCGTTATCATCTATGAGAATGAATTCATCCCTTATTGTTGCAGAGTAAAGGACTGCAATAGGTCTGAGGATCTTATGCCTATATCGCTCACTCGCTACTGCTCCATCCCTGGTACTGTGCAGGACAGTACGGCCCATTGATAGAAATATCGGCCCACATCACCATTCCGCATCCGCCACGGACACTTTCATGCACAAATGCAGTAGTATTCCGTGTACCAGGTTCTTTCCAGATGAGAAACTGCCTATTCTCGAGTTCTCTCCAACGGTATCAGCGTAATCGACCAACCAAGTCAAAGCAACAGTAATAACCTTTTACAGATGGCTCCAAAACAGAGAACGGCATGGCCAGCGCGTTCTGTAGACTGGAAAATGGTATTGTTAACATTTGAGTGGAGGAGGAAACCAAGCTTAAAAAACTCGGTACACCAAGCAGAGCTTCTAGCTGTCAAACTCAGCTTCTGGCAATGCCTATCTAAACAATGAAGCCGCTGACCTACTGGCTAAGCAGGCGGCCAGCTGCACGAATTTATTAAAATTACCAACTTAACTTCCTTGGTCATTAAACGAACAACTTTGACACGTTGCTATAAAATTGGCAAAGTAGATGGACACAGGAAAGGTACGACTAAGGACATATCGCTTACTGCCAAAAGTTAACACGGAAATAAAGCAGAAACAACCGTGAATAATATTATGTTTCAAATGTTTAGAATTTAAAGCAGATAATCAGAATAACGTTTGGTACCTGCAGTTATCAAGCTTTTTTACTTTGGAATTTTCCTCGCTGTGCCGGTACATAATTCCATGGTTCATGTCCATAGACCATGGTTCATGTCCATGGTCGGAAGCCATCATAGCGGTGCACTCACTCACTGAAGACAGATTCTTCAGTGAAGAGCATGTTGTTTCATTCATATCGTCCCCATCTGAAATGCTCCTGTGCCCCTCTTCTGCGGGTAGCACGGTGATCTTGTGTCAACGAAACACAAGTTATAGGTCCGCGAGCATACAAGTAGACATCGTAGAGTTAGTTTCGTGCAGTTTGAGTCGAAACTCTGGTATTAATAGCCCTATGAAGGTCCTGCTGTAAAAAAGTGGCGTTCAATGTAGGGTTTCTTCTAGTCGTTAGTGTTAAATAACAATCCTCATTTTGCGTTCTTGCAGGCGTACGACTTTGTTCCGATCTTCGGTGAACATTTCCAGTTTTCGAAAACCGAGTTCATAGTTTGTAAATGACGCTTTAAGAAACTCTTAACGCTTCCGCTACAGCGAATAGTGTTTTATCCGCCTTTAAACGACCACTGGCCTTCCACGCTACCGATTGAACTAAGTCATCTTGCTGAGATAGTGTATTCACTGTTACAAAATATTCAACCTATGTAGTTGCTTTTAATCTCCTCCTACAGAAGGAATGCTGCAGGTCCCTTTTCACTCCTTATCTAAAACGTGTAAAGTCACAGACAAAATTTGCATATTTTCAACTTTGCAAACTTTGTAATTTTCTTTTTTAACCTCTTCTATTTAATTTTTGTTAAAAAAAGGTGTGGATTATATGGTCATTTCATATCGAACTCACAGTACCTCTTAATTGTTTTCACCAGTGTATTAATATATTACATAAAATGTAATGACTCTCTTGAACTTTTAACGATTTCAGCATTAGTAAGAACGCAAGATCAGTGTCATCAAAACCTAAGATACGCTCCTAGGATCAAAAATCTTTGTTATAACAACTGACCGTTTCTATGGTTTACGTAACCTTAAATTTGTCTTCAGTATTAAATTCTACACTCTAAGAAATGTTAGCGATTTTGGCGAAATAATGATAGTTCATATGCAGATGCACAGTTTTAACCTAATGCAGAAAGAGAACACAGTACTCTTGAAAACATAAAAAAAGCTTTTCTTCTTTCATGATAAATTCGGATAATTAATACTGAAATTTTAAGCACCTACTGTAATGAAAATGGTTTATTCTAAACGGATTTTAATTTTTGTCGCAAATAAACCAAGTAAAGTATATATATTTTTTTCAATTCTCCTTAAATGACTTATAAAACCTTGAATAAATAAAATTGGTAGTATACTATAGTAGCAAGTTACCTTTTACGTGAAACAGATATTTAGAATTTATTTTAGAATTTTAAAGACCTAACGTTTAGACTGAAATAACCTCATATTCATAGGTTATCCAGAGGAGAGATGATTTTGGCACCAATTCAGATTTTTTCTTCAAAGACTGGCGAAGCTACAAATACGGATTTGGAGATTTAAATTATGATTTTTGGCTTGGTAAGTACATTACTCAATACTATTGTACAATTTACTTTTTTAATTGAATTTGCGTTTCTTTGGAAAGAGAATAGATAATACGTAGGATAAAATTCTTTTAAACGATGTATACCTCTAACGATGGAAGCTGCTGAACTTTCCGACGACCATCGCCATGAAACTTTTAAGGATGAAACTTTTAAGGAAACTTTTAAGTAAGCATGTTAACAAAGTAATAGGTAAGACGCGTGACATTTCATAATCATACACGTCTCTCAGAATAAAGAATATATATTGAAGTTAACGCGACACACTCCTCCAGTATTTGCATGCACAATATATCTGTGAACTACGAAGCCATTTTATGATAAATAGTTCAAAGTATGTATACATGCCTGGCAGTTTCTTTACATATTGTACTACAAGTAATTTTTATTATTGGCAGAGAGATGCAGAGTGCAGGCCTGCTCGTTCGCTAACAAGCAACGTTGCATAGTAATAAGTGCATTACGCTTTTATCTAAATGGCTTGCAGTTTCTTTTAATTGTCTGCAGGACTTAACGAGGATGTCCAGAAAATGTGTTGGAATGTGATTTTATCAATCGGGATGATGTGTTTAGGAGGTTCAGATAATATTCCGGGATGTAGTAAGCAGGATTTATCTGGTAACGTCCCTTACTCTGTCTATGCAACTTAGTTAGGATGTTTCGAAAGTATGTTGGGATGCGTTTAGTAGATCCAAGGGACATTTTAGAATGTCTTCAGTATGTAGTGAGCAAGACTTGAAATCATAATATTTCGTGGATTGTCTTCTGGATCTAGCGAGGATGTTCCGAAAATATACTGGGACGTTACGTTAATCGCACAGGAGGATGTGTTTAGGAAGTTCAAGGGATGTTCCAGGATGTCCTGAGTATGTAGTAAGCAGGACTTAAAATCCTGGTAACAACTATTACTTTGTCTATGGAACTTAGTTAGGATGTTCCGGAAATATATTGGGATGGGACATTAATCACTTGAAACGATGTGTTTAGAAGGTTAGGAAGATACTGAGGGATGTCCTAAATATGTAGTAAGTAGAACTTCAAATCATTACATCCTGTTCTCTGTCTACGGGACATGGCAAAGATATCCTGAACATATACTGGGATGTGATATTAACACTTGGGAGGAAGAGGATATTACGACAAGTCCTAAAGATCTACGCTTATCCCGTGAGCAACATCCTCAGGATATCCCAAGGTTGCTCTTGTGCTATGTGGGAATATCATAACAAATATTTTTGTACATTTTAATTTTGCCATTTTGAGTATCTCATTTTAAATATTCTATTCTCCATACCAATGTTTCTCACCGCCGGTCCGCAAGAAATATTTGCCGGTTATTTTTGTCTTCATGATTTATTTACATGAAAAAATCGTGCCGATGAGTCGAATTATTTAACTTACCGGTTCGCGAGAACGTACCGAAATATTTTACCAGTCCTTAGAGTAAATCCAGTTGAGAAACACTGCTCTATACCCCGTTTCTTAATCTATGATGGTTCTCAAAGCTTGGCTATGACCCTCCTAGATTTCAAAAAAATATACACACACAAAATTAGATTAACTGTGCGTATCACACTGTAGTTGAAAATCTTAGACTGGAAATTTCACGTAGCAGTCGCCTATCATTCATTCTCCCAAGAATATTATAAATAAAAACTGATTCAAACGAAAACAAAATACCGAAATCGACTTGATATACGAATCGATCTCAGACTTAAGCTTACTTGCATACATCCAAACACAGAACAGCTGACAAGAATGGGCAAGTTTATTAATCTTATTAATATGAGTACGGAAATTTATTTAATTCTTAGTTAATACGATAAAGATTATTTAAACTCTAATGGCCTTGAATTATTAAAAACAAATACATATTTTCTGCTATTAACTTAATACAATATTAAATGAAGTTTAATAAATTTCATTTTAAAAATATAAGTATACCGATAAATGCTAAAAAATTATTTTGAACGGGACAAGAGTAAAGTGGTAAACATCGTCCTCGCTTGAGATGCGTTTTTCGATATCTTTCGATTTGGAGACCCGAATCTTAAACTAGTAGGCACATCGTAATTGCGTATTCAATAATATTTCAAGTAATAAACTGAAATCTAAATATCAAGATCAGACTAAATTTCTTTTCGGTCTTATGATTTTGACAATTTAAGCTGTTTCTTTTAACATTCTGAAAACCGAATGATAAATTCTTCGCGCTGTCATATTATAACTTGATGTTTTCAGAGTTAAATTTAAAAAAAAAAAAAAAAAAAAAAAAAAAAAAAAAAAAAAAAAACTTTTACTGTCTTTAGAATTAAACCATGTTTTAATTTCAGGAAATGATAAAATATTTGCTTTGAGCAATCAGAGGAAATCAACACTTAGATTTGATCTTCTCGATTTTGAAGATGAAGATGGATTTGCAGTCTATGATAATTTTTACGTGGACGATGAAAGTGAAGGATATAGATTACATTTAGGAGATTATCGAGGAAATATTGGTAAGATACTTACTTACATTTCATATTTAGTGCACACAAAAAATCTATTTAACTTTCCAGTACTCAGACACTCAAAGTATATTTAAATAGAAAGCCTGAAATATGAATTTTTTAAAATAGTACACAGCTTTGGAATAAGCAAGGATAATAACTTGCTAACTGAAATGTGGCTTCCTTTTATATTTTTTGATATTGTTGTCGAATTAGAAATAGGACACAGGTTAAATTTTAGAAACAACTGCTTGAGATGATTGTTCAAGATTTGCAAATCAGTTAATTCAAGCTGCAAATATGACCTCACTGCTTCACAATTTAAGTTGAAAGCCATGGTAAAAATATCCAGTTCTGTTTGAATGACACTGAAATCTGCGTTCGAACTCAAAATACAGTTTTTTCAAGCCATCTTCATAATTCTTAAGCTTCTTTTCATTTACTGAGGGTATTCAATTTAACCTCGGGAAATGAGACAACTCGTTCTTAGGTAGATGTCCAGCAAACATATTAAATTTTATTAAGTTTTAAGTTAAGATTAAGTTTCTTCTAAGAGGTCTAATTCACCTATGTTGGATTCCCATATGTCTACTCGAGCAAGAGATAACGCTTGTTGGCTCCAATCTACAGCTATAACTAACTTCCTAACACAGAACTTCCGCTTTTAACACTTTACTGATTGAAAGCTGTCTGTGCTTGCAATTTCCGTCGATTTATGTTTTGTAGAACAAAAATAGAGAAAGTAAAAAGATTATCAGTCCTTTGAAAAAAGGGAAGGAAAAAAAAATATTTAAACAAAGTAGAAAAGGAGATGGATATATAATATATAAATATGTACTTCTTTTAATTAGTCTCGGTACGGTAAATTAAAATTCTATCCGCGTTTCCAACGGGCCGTAGTTGGCCCATCCTCTGGCCTAGACGATGGAAAATTACGTAGCAATTGCATGGTCGGAAACGCTTTCTCATCTTTCTTCAGCAAGTATTGCCGCAGCTATTAGACGACGCACCCGCTGCGATGCGTTTTTCCGTATGGTTTCAACATGATGCCCCCCTCCCATTACAACCGTGATGTGCGTCTCCTCATGAATGCGACGTATTCTCAACAATGCATTGGCAGGGACGGTCGTGGCCTTCGAGATAACATGGCCTGGTCGTCACCATCGAGATAGATCGAGATAGATCTATCTCGATGGTGGCGGCCTGGTTAGCTGCGAGTGACGTCACGAAAGGCGTCCGATCCTTCCGTGACTTTCTTTGCTTTAGATTTGAATGCGAGCGTTTCGTTCGATGTTTAGAGTGTTTTGTTTTTAATAATGCATAATGATTAAATTTCCAGAGACTTGACGGGAAAGCGTATATAAAAGGTCGTATATTCATTTGCAGTTAAGATTAATAACTTAATAAATATTATTTTTTAAGAAATATTCACGAAATTTTCTATGCCATGTTTTAGGTTATCTTGTGCATTTTTTTTACACTGTATTGTAATAATTCGTTAGGATACACTCAAAAAAGAAAGTTTTGAAATAAGGAAATAAAAAGGCTGTTATTTATTAACATAAAAATGTCTTTACAGTTGGAGGAGGAGAGGAATGAAAAGATTTAGAAATATAAATAATTCACTAACAAAAGTAAATATAATTTAGCAAATTAAAAGACATAAAAAATTATTTTTCCTTAAAACTATAAATATTTCAGGTCTTCCAAACATTATGAAAATACATTTTAATTCATTTAAATTACTATCTAATAAAATGAAAAGCAGTTTCAAAAGCCACAGAAAAAATTTAAACCTCAAAACTTTGTAAATTAAATAAATTACAATTTTGCTGCAACATTACAGAAAACGAATAATTTCCACATATTTATATGTTATCTATAGCAATAATTATAATAATATTTACGCCATTTAATAATATTTACATTATTACTTATATGTAAATGCATAATAAATAATATATTTACAAATAAAAGCCATCCATAAAATGTTCCACAAAAGCGTAAAATTTAATAAATTTGCTAACGAAAACCTCAAAACAACTATACATAGAACAAACCATCATTTCTGTCTAATTAGCAAATACTGTGCAAGTTGTACTAGTATAATGAAGCAATAATTAATCGCAATTGATAATTTATTTTGAAAATAATGAAGTATTATCAAATAATAAGGAAACAGCAAAAGGATTAATAAATTTAAATGTAAAGATACATTATTGAAAATATATTTGAACTGCATCATATTTAGTACACTATTTTTAAAAAATAAAACAATGTCATTAACATACTCATATCTTTTCCATCACGTATTCTTGACTTTTTTAAGTTTCCTTTCATCGATTTTTGTATGCATATTATTTTGAAGAACTTTAGTATAATTGTTTAAACAAATATTTGGAATGGTGCTCATTATTTTTTTAATCTGCTAGAAAATGGAATTCCACACATTAAACAAGTTTCATGAACATCAAACATGTTAATGTTTTGTACATATATATCGGTAAGTTTGACCAGTAAAGAATGTTGTTCAACTTCTTTACTGGTTCTTCTTTACTTTCAACTGTAACAACTTCATCTCCTAGATAAACTGCTATATCCATATGAAGCGATACGAAGATACTTCTCTCAATTTTAGAATGTGGATAAAAACTGAGCAATAAAATATAAATACCAGCAACAGATTTGTGTAAAATAATATTTGAAGTATCTGAAATATTTAATTTATTCGGTAACATAGAAGAAAAATTCTCAAATGATGCTATTTTTGTTCTTTCTAAAAAATTCATTAAAAATATGCTTCTCCATCTTAGCTCTTTTTTCCTCCCTGCTCATCCTCTGAGGGGTTGGAATTTCAGATAAGTATTTTGGACAACCAGAAAAAATGCATGGGTAAGCATCGTTATTTAATTTAGGATGCCCTCTGAATAAAAGTACCTTCGTTTGTTGGTAAATAATCATAGCGAATAATATCATCTTTGCGAAAATGTTTTTCACACACAACGCTGCGATCACTTGGAATAAAAATTTTCCTTAAAATTCTTTTGATCCATAAATCCCGTTTTACTGTATCTTTTGCAAATTTGAATACTGATGCATATTTGTTGGTGCCATCGTATTTGGATTTGTATGCTGGAACGCAACATCGTGCAGGCATGATGAAGACAGCTCTACATAGACGTCGATCGTTATTCTTGCTAACAAATAAGTTAACTAGTAATCTCAATTTAAAAACGAAAATATCCTTAACAACATTACTTAAATTTAGCAATAAAAAAGACACGAATAATAAAACAATACAGCACGCAATCAACGTAATAAGAAATCTTCGCTTGCAGTGTCCACACAATGCAGGGCGAAGGGGGAAAGTTCAGATGCCTTACGTGACGTCAAATTACGTGATTCTGCAGCTGACCAGGCCATCTAATCTCGAAGGCCACGGGACGGTCCGGTGCATCGGGCAGCAAGATCAGACCTCACTTGCATTGACTAGTTCCTCTGGGGGTAGTCTGATGTACGCAACATCCGTGGGCGAAAGACATTGGTGTACGAAACGACCGTTAACAGTGCTGAGGAATTTGTTGCACGCATCGTTGCAACTGCTGGGGAAGTCCGGAACACACCCCGTATTTTTTAGAACATAAGATCTTACCTGCGCCGGAGATGTGAAGCCTGCATCGCGGTCCGGGCTCGTAATTTTGAACACCTTCTTTGATGACGATAGTCGTCTGTTTTTGTTTTCTTGGTTTCTGCTGTACTAGGCATATTAAACATGTTTTCTCCTCACTCTGTTTGTAGCCTTCCTTTCTCATGTTTTATATTGTCACTATCACGCCAGGAAAGCGCTTTCGACCATGTACTTAATTGTGCAATTTTTCACACTCCTGAAAGTTTATAACTGCAGTGCTGAAACACTCTGTGTAACTTTTATATGTACTTGAAGTTGAACTTCAAATCATAAATGATAAAGGGAAAGCACCGCGTTTCACTTGCAATACAATAAATGGGCTACTTATTTTAATTTCGCGATGATATTTAATAGGATGATCTTCATATGTACGGTCATAATTCAGTAAAATATCTGAAAAATTGATAACCAAAGACTATGCAATCAATATCAAATTTTGTGACACTGAAACACAGATGAACTCACTAAGTTCTTTCACACATTTCACAAACACTGAATATATCAAACTTCGATAATATGCGGCACAAATCTATGCGTCGTAGACTATGCGGATGTATTTACTCGAACATTTTGGAAAGGTGGTTGATGCTATTGTTGAATTAAAACAGTAATGGTTACTTCTTTCAAGAAGACACTTGTTCGAATCTCTACCCCAGAGACCATGATCGAGATCATTTACGAGTATATCTTAGTCAAAATTTGCCACAAGCACAGAAACTATTTGTATCTCAAACATAATTTGTTATAAAGGTGGATAGGACGCACAAAACAAGGAAATGACTCATTAATGTGGCGGTTACTCTGCTTTCGAATTTTACCCCGTGCGACTTTTTTTTTTTTTTTTTTTTCCCTGGTAGTGAGTCTACAAAAGGATTCTAACTCCGAGCCTCCATTTTTCGCTATGGTCTTCGAAATTGCAACCCTGACGCAGTGACTTGGCTCACTATGCCATAAGATGTTAGCATGTGTGGAACAAAACGTAACATTGCTTAAGGTTTCTTCCGCATCGGCAAAGATTAGCATATAGAATATTTTGAAACGTGTAAAGGAAACTTAGTGAATTTGCTTGTATATCAGTAAATAAAGTTTAATATTATCTGCAGAATTTTTTATGAATTTTTAAAAGTCTGCATGAAATTATGAACTGCCTTGTTTTCAAATATCATATGAAATAAAACAGCATCTTCACTACTTTCTTATATTCTGCCAATTGTTTTTTAAAATGATTAGCGCAAAAGTATTGCAAAACAGAGATAAGTAATGATTGAAAGAATTGCAGGAAAACTTCATAATTAAAAAATTCAAAAAATAACAATTTATGGGGACATTATAATTCCAATTTGTTTTATTCAGGTTCAGATGACTCTTCAGACTATATGTGTGTTTTGTGAAAGCGAGACACACATCAGTTTTTCAGATTAGGAATTTCAAAAATTAAATAATTATAATTATCATGTTGCGCAAAAATAACTAAATAGCCAAAGATATATTTATTAAACAGAGAATTTTTTTGAGAACTGTTCAGAAGCATGAAATAGGACTATTTTACGACATCTTTATTAACACTTTGGTTTGGCATTTTTACTTTCCTCGTCTGAAGGCAGCATCTTTCAATACAGTTGTTTTTTCTCTGCTGAGAATGCCCACCAATTACACGATGTTAAGTCCGATGTACATGGAAGGCATCTTAGATCTGCCTATCAACTTAAGACACTGCTGCCAACATGTGACAATGTTGCCAAAGCTTGGCCATACCAACAAGTAATCAGGCATTGTTTTGGAGCAAAAATCAATGTTCCTTGAATAAATTCTGTCCCTGCTTATTTATGGCGTTACACAAAAGGATTTTCGAAATGTTTATACAATAATCACTGTTCATTGTCTGCTATGGTCTTAAATGCTGAGATTCGTAACCGAGGAGTTTCGTGACGTTCTTTCAGGAAATTTCAAACTTTTCAGGTTCACCGCTTCCTTTTTCAGAAATCTAGCTGAAGCTAAATTTGACAGAATTTAGTTCAATGAGTTTAGACCTTGAAAGATTTTTATTTTGAATAACGAAACTGAATTAAGTGCGAGTTACAGTCGTCAAATAATCTTATAACGGCTAGAAGATACATTCTAAAAAAACGACTGGTAATAGATATTCCACTGAATCACGATCTAAAATATATATTAAAAAAGTTTTTGAAAGTAACTTGTAAAGACAATAGGTTATTTCGAAGCAGAAGAATTGAAAAATGAGGAATGCCCACACCAGCATTTGAACCTCGGACATCTCGAATAACGCGCTGAGTGTGCTGACCATTACACCACGAAGACATGCTAAGAAAGCGGGATAAATACCTTATATACTCTCTCTTTTAAACGGCGACTAGGGATTAGGGGCCCAATCGCAAAATCCTGGTAGTGGAGAACCATCGTCCATCACCCTTTATAGTTCGATCGCTACTGTACAGACATAAGATTTTTTGATGCAGTGAGAGAGATGAAATATGAGCAATGTCCTCGCCGGGATTCGAACTTCAGACTTCTTGAATACGCGCCGAGCGTGCTGACCATTACACCACGAAGGCATGCTTTTTGAAAGCATGTTCATTACTTCAAAATATTATCGATTTGAATATTGATAGTTCTTTTTGGCACTACATTAAAACAGTAGTTTGGTCTTATCGTACAGATGTTCTGAATTTAAAATCCAGAGCGTTTCCTTAATATTTGTTTTTGACGGCTACAAAAAATATTACCAAAATTATATGGTAACGTTCATTTTCCGGCGAATGGCCTATTACCAGCAGAATTTCTTGGCTTTTCCTATCTGTAATGCAAATGCAAGCTAATTTCCTCATATAGTCTAAAAAGGCATCCTTTCCGTTAAAATAATCAACGCTTATGAATGCTTTGTCATAATAAATTAACAAATCGATTAACTATATCTGGCGAGCAATACTTTGGGCAAAGATATTTTTAGTCAGCTAAAAAAAAAATGTTACTAATTAAAAGCAACTATGCTCTATCATTTCATTCTGCCATAAGAAATATGCAATGGAAAAAAAGCAATGAGAAGTTATTTTGATTTTAGCTTCTTTTTTTTTGTCACAAATACTGTAGATGAAAGTAATTTGATTATTTCTAATAATCTAATGGTTTTATCATTTGTTTCAGGAGATTCTTTTAAGGGGCACAACTTGTCAAAATTTTCTACCAGGGATAGAGACAATGACAACAATTCATCTCGAAGTTGCGCAATGGTTTACAAAGGTGGATGGTGGTACAACAACTGTCACACCGTCAACCTGAATGGATTGTACCTAAAGGGGATTCACGACACCTATGCAGATGGAGTAAACTGGCATGGTTGGAGAGGATTCAGGTATTCTCTGCGAAAAACGGAAATGAAATTGCGATCGTCTAATTTCTTGCGCAGGAACAACTAGGAACATATGTTAGCAATATGATCAACATAATAAAGAAATTTCTTTCACAGGGCTTGTTAGCTTTATTAAATGTATGAAAATTCTTTCTAAGAGTCAGATTTTATTTAATCATATTAACTATTCAAGTCTTTGAACAAAAGTTATGTTATTCAGTTATATACACTATTTAACAGTTTAACGAGAAAGAAGATTTGCTAATAGGGTATAGAGATTGCTGCGAATAATTTCACTCTAAAGGATGGTAAAATTTTGTAGCTAAGCCTAATTTACAAAAATTGTAATTTTGGAATGTTAAACAACTATATTCTTTATTAATGTAAGCTTATTATTTCGATTATGCTAGATTATTTTGTGGCATAATATGTTAAGTCTAATCAGAATTTAAACTTGAAGGTTTCTGTAAGAGATTCTTCAAAACAGGTGACAAGGTTTCATAAGTAGATATATCATCTATTGAAACTATTTCTGAACTGCGAAATCAATTTCTTCATTTTATTCAAAGAAAAGCACTTATTACACCTTCATTATTTTCTAATTGCTGCAGTAAAAATTAAAAAAAAAAATCAATAACTTAGACTACTTTTTAACTTCTACTGTCACACTGATACCGATACGCTGTTCTGTGTTTCACAGGTGAGAAAATATCATGTTAAAAATTACAAAACAAAGGTACATAAAAATTAAAAACAATAAAATAGTCTAGGATAGCATTTTTCAGACTTATTTCAAATAAGGAAGTCTTTTACAAATTAGAATTTTTACTGACCATCTTCCTTTTGTTCCCACAGAAAGCAATTTTTCAACTACCAGTACACTAATACTTTTTAAATACAACTGATGTAAATCCAATTAAGTTAATATTAAGTAACTAATTAATACAAGAAAAATTATATTCTTTTTTAATAATTGAAGGTTCTTATAGTACACACATTAACAAAATGGATGAACTTGCTGATACTTGCACAGCTATTCTATGCTTGGATGCATACCGATAAGCTTAAATCTTAGACTGGCACATATTTAATAAAATGCTGGTCTTGGGAGAATAAAAATGATAGCTGACTGCCATGAGTAATTTCAAATCCCTGAGATTTTCAGCTGTAGTGTTGTAATGTTCTAGATGAAATAAAGTCCTTTAACTTCTAGAACTTAGTAGCTACTATTCGCTAATTTCTTGCAGCGTAAATAACATTTCTGAAGAAGGGTTAAAATACCCTTTTTATTGAACTCAAGATATTTATAGATGGCCCCTCTTGGGCATACAAGAAGCTAACGCTTTTGGCTTGAACTTAAAATAGAAAATGTAAAATTAAACTAATGCTAAGTAGAACTACACAACCTAAGCTGCACACAGTTGTTACCACATAGTTGGCTTTTATCTAAAAATCACAGCCATAGACTAACCAGCATGTAATCAGCAAGGCTGTAAATTAGCAAGTTTTGATTCGTACAACAACATGGCCGAAAGGTTGAGCACACTCTAACTGAAGTAACGTCAGACCTTTTTTTTTTTTTTTTTCAGCTGAAAGAGCAGTTACTCCCGTATTTTGCATCAAGCATGATACTGAAAACTCATTCTGGTAGGAAAATGAGGAAGTAAACGAAAGCTGCCTTAAATAAGAATAAATATTAGAAAAATTAGAAAATATTAGAAAGTAAAACCCTATAGTGTGATGTTATCTGAAGGTATTTTGAATTTTGTCTTTTTTGTAAATCTAGGAGGACCACAAGAGCAGGTTTAGAGGAACACAGTGTGATATTCCATTTCGGGCTTTCTGAAGGTGGCAACAAATATCATGCCATCTGATGCTTTATCTTCATTCTGCAGGTGTTCTGGATGAAAATATCAAAAATGTCCCATTTCAGCCTTTTCAATTTTTAACCTTTCATTATAATTGATGGGAACACACTTAGAAGGAAGATTACATGTTCAAAAGAAATAAGATTAGATTAAGCACCGTTATCATTTCATTTAGAACTATGCTCAGTTTTAATTATACCTGTGAAGAACAAACTCGCTTTTTCCATGCAAAGACTGAAATTGAATTTTTAGAAATTTTAAGATATAAACTATCTACAGCATATAAGGGCTAACCTTATCGTTTAAACATAAGTGTAAAAAACTCGAGATGGGTATGCAGGAAATCAAACTGTTTCGGAAGTTTGCTACTCAAAAGAAAACAGTACCATATTGAAGGAGAATGAACATTACTTTGTCCTGAGCACTGCTAAAGTGGAAGTTCTAAAATGCGCTGATTTACGCCAAGAAACTTGTCCGAGCAGAATTAATTCTTTTACCAACATTTCAGGTGTTGCTTTCCAAAGATGATTATTCCGAGTTGGACTCTGTAAGAGAAATGTTGATCTTTGAAATCATCTCAGATATCTTGCCACTCTTTGAAGTTATCTTGAAGGATCTTTGAGGTTATCACTCTATACAGAAAGATGCAAAGTTTTAGAATTCTCAGCTATGAAACAAAACTACAGAAAACCTGGTATTACTTAGCAGCCATACGGAAAATTTTTGTATTGATGACGAGGAAGAAACAGACCAGCAATATGAAGAATTATTTTTATTTGCAGCAAATAATGGATTACAATATGAAGGAAAAAGTAACTATTCTTTGGGATGGAACCCTTAAATCCATCAAGTCCGTTTGTTGCCGTCAGGTTGAAGAAGTATGTAATATTCATATTGATAAGTGGGAACACCGCTAATGAAACAGCAGTGTATCCTTTTGTATATGCTGTTTTGCACGATAAAACTAAATTAACTTATGACAAAATGTTTTTGGTTTGTAAGCGAAAAATACCTTTTGGGGAACAAAAACTTAGAAAATTGATTTTGAAGTTGCTGTAATAAAAGTCTTAAGAAATGTGTCTCCAAACACTTTAATTAAATTTAATAAAGTGCTCATGGTAAGAAGTACAATGCACAGGTTTGATTACTCAGTACAGAGAAAACGAAAGTGTGAAAAAGCATATTCGTATGTGTGCTTCTTTAGCCTACTTACCTCCACAAATCTTTAATGAGGGTTGGCTGAAAATAATAGAGAATTCTCCTAAATCTGACCAAATTCAAAGTTTTAACTGATATATGATCTAACACTGATTAGAAAACGAATCAATGGAAGGCATTTTGAATTGCTACAGTGAAAGATCTAGAACAACAAATTCTTTAGAATACTGCCATCACAAACTGCATAATGCCATAAGAAAATCAACTTACTTGGTTTCTTCATATAGGATACATAAAGACAAAATAATAAATATTTCCTTGTAAGTTGTCAGATTGCAACATACTCAACATATCCTATTCATAACAGCGATAGAAAATAACACCTACAGACCACCATGAAAGGGAAATAAGTGTGAACAGGTCATCACCTTGAAACTGAAATGGACACCTACAGATCATCCACGAAAGTGAAAGAAACATACTCTGCACTATCTAGTGCCCTTTTCTTCTAAACAAACAAAAAATATCAAACACTGTTATTTGTATCTTTGCAGCTATTTATATTTTCATTTAACAGCAGCAATGAATATTAGGATAACTATGCCATAACTGCGAGGAAAAATATAACTCCAAAGTTCCAAATTCATCCAAAAAATTATGAATATCTGAAATCAACGTACCTCCATCACTCAGGTATAAAGCATAAAATCAAGACCTGTACAAATGTATGAATTCATATCAATAGGTTATGGGTTATGTGCCACTGACTAGGCTTCCGACCTGTGGTAAAACCGATATCAATAGGTGCACATAGATAGAAACTCTACAGCAAAGTAGGTATTACCTTTGTATTGTACAACAGCAATACAGCAATTTACAAATGAAGAGGCCATCTACCCCTCAATTATCCTTCAGGCAGAGATGAATACTATATATATATATATATATATATATATATAAAAAAAAAAAAAAAAAAAAAAAAAAAAAAAAAAAAAAAGCTATTACCTTTGCCAAATTCACCACCAGCTCACGAATTAACAGCTGCTCCGATTACCTTTCTGCAACCTATGCCAAACATGCATCACCAATCACAACACATATAACTTGTTACAGAATAATGAACTAAAAATAATTCTCAATTGAATTAATATGAGGCCATTTGGAACAACATGACAACAAGCAAGCAGACTTCCTCAATAGAAACAATAGAGAAATGAAAACAATTGTACTAAAATTAATGGCCAAAGTCACATGCAAAATTGCACATTATAATCTCCACTTTCAGTTCAGGCATTACTGCAAACACATTATGAGTTTCAAAAGAGATTTCTTGGGAAACCTATTTGTGTTATCACAAGAAAACAAAACCACGTGGAAAGAATTCCTAATTCTTTAAATTCCTAAAAACAGCAAATCACAATTGATGTTTCATTATGTAAAATAAATGTGCATTAGAAGTGGAATACATTTTAACACAAATTCAATTTAACAGACTGAATGCTGTCAAGTATATAGACTAGAATACCCATAGAAACAAGAAGGCCTACATTATATTCAAATAAATGATTATGTTACTATGCTCACAGTATTTAATCTCACAAAATAATGAAATTTCCTACACATTGACATATTTTTACATTTTAGTGTAAAAATATTTCTTATCATTTTAGTACTGTCAAAAAATTTAAAGACTAATAAGTCTTATGCCAGAATTATAATTATTCTCATATAAGAATCAACTGAATGATAAAACTGCTGAAATGCCACTTGCAAGTTGAGGATTTGCACAGGCATAAAATTAATTTACTGTTCCTATGATTGTTTAAGTTTTTTTCAAAATATGCGAAAAGCATGGCTTTTCTACATATTTTGAAATTACATTGCTTTTCTGCATCCAAAATATGTAGAAAATCGTGGCTTTTCTACATATTTTAGACGACTTTTTCTCTAAATAAAGCTCTGTCATAATTTGTCAAATGTTTTAAATTAATCAATTTTGGAAAAATATATTTCTTTGAAATATATAAATAATCTGATTCATTCATGGAAGATGAATAGTATTAGAGTTCATGTCTCTATCATTTATCCTTATTTTTAAAATTTCCAATCATTTAACATCTTAGGAAACATTTGAAAAGTTAAATGGTATATATATATATATATATATATGTTTGTTAGACATAAGCAAAACGCTTAGTATATAAAATTCGCCATATGCAGATTCGATAATACCAAATATAAATGAAAAGTTATATAAAGAGGCATACATTTTGAAACGTACTTCAGTACATTTGCTTATAATTGCAATAAATTTAGATGATGATTTTTAAAAGAATTTTTACTACATTTTAAGACTTAATTCAGTTAGATCTTAGACTGGTATGGATGAACTATTCATATTTTATCATATTTTAGTACATAAATCTCAAGACAGAATGGAGTAATCATTGACCAAGAACATTACACTATGTATAAGTCCAATACATTACATTAAATATGATAAATGCTGTGCAGTCAATTTTGGAGAAAATACGAAAGACATAAAAAAAAATGTTTTTTAAGATTTTAAATTTAAGACATTCTGCAAGCTTTAGGCCAAATCATTAACATTGCTTTTGGGAAGACACACCTGAATGTAGAATTATTGCTGTTTTTAAAATTCTACAAATGCAATAAAATAATTTCTTCAATGGCTGCAAATACATTACTCAAAAATTCTGCAAAAGCTGACTTTCTCTGGAAATGGGAAAGGAGTATATTTACTAACATTACACAGGCTGAAGTTCACGATTCATGTTTATTAATTACCATCAAATAAGGACACATCACAGTCACAAATAATCAAATACTGTTGTGATTAGTGAATGAATAGCCCATTTTATGCAATACTGAAGAAAATTCACCAAAAATTCAGACACAACTATTCTACAAAAATTAAAAGTCATTCCCTTCCACAATATTCCCATAGAAAATTGCATATTCTATACACTAGAATATGAATATACCTTACTTCCCACATTTTCCCAGCTTTCTCAACTCATTAGTGGCCTCAAGAAAGACTAAAGCCACTGACAGTTGTATCTTAGTAATGAATTGTGCTGACAGACTTTCTCACGATTACATAAATATAATAACTTCAAAAGCATCACAGTTTATTCTGCAAAATTCTTCTCAGGTTCTGCTTCTTTAGCCAGACAGTTCTCAAGTTCCTGTAACTGATTAATCCAACCTTATCTCCAATGGATTATTAATGATTTTTATCATGTGGACAGTGAAAAGATTCTCTGAAAGCAAAAGTACATGCTGTGCTGCACTTGATGTTTCAGTAACACAATTCTAAGATTTCCCCTATCAAGTTTGTATTCTCATAAAATTTGTATCTACAAAGGCTCATTACACATATATTACAGATATTTTAAATGACACTCATGTTCCAGATATTTCATTCACACTAGCCTGATATTTTATAAATCCAACAATTCCAATAAGGCCTATCGTTACTTGGAAATCTTGTAGCGAAATATAATTTTTTAAAAACAGCAAACGAATGAAAATGTATTGTGAAAACTAAATCAAATGAAAGTTAAAATATCATAAGTATGTTTCTGATTTTAACACTGTACAATAATCAATATTAAATAGTGTAGGTATTAAGGTAAAACAACTGAAAATTTAAAATCAGAGTGTTTGAACATTAAATTAGAGATAAAAAATGTATTTTGAAAATCTTAGCTTATTTTGAGTTGATAAAAAGAAGGGGAATAGAAATAATATGGTACTTGAATGAAATATATGTGTTAATGCAAACTACACTGACAAATTTACATTAATGCCTAATCTGTTACAATCAAATTTCACATAATTTTATATTTTAACATAAATGATAAATATTTCACCAAAATATTGAAAGCAGACATAACATACAGATTTTCATGACACAGATGATTATACAGTACACCTTATAGAAATATATAATGTTTAGAAACAGCAAAATGATATGTTTCAAAAATCTATCATTTATATAGTTAACCCTTTCATGATGGGCACCTCAGTTACTGAACTGCTCTCTTGAGATGGCATGCTAACAGGATGCACTGCCTTGTTAGGACAGGCAATCTACGGTTAAGCCTAATTTTGGAAAAAAAAATTACATAAATTAAATTTGTGGTCCAACTGCTCCAATTTTTTTAACATTATGAGAGGAACATTCAAGTAGTTGTCAGAATTAATCAGAAAATTTTATCATTATACTTTCCTTGCCATTTCAAGAAAAAAAAAATACACGAAATATTCACCTCAAGGCTAGCCAAACTAAGAGGAATGAATAAAACATATAAATCAATAACCACACCGAAAATAAAAAACAAAAATTTTCAGGTCTAGAGCATGTGTTTATATATGCTAACACACTTAATAGCAAGCTCTGTTTATTTACACAATGCATTGATTCCAAAATAAAATATACTGCAATGGAATAAAGGTCAACATTCTCCAGTCTTTATAAATTCCACTATACCAGACATAGGGCTACATGCAATGGCAAAATATGATACTAATTAAATGTTCTATCTAAAAATTCATTTGTGGTACATCCATCCTAAGCATAAATTTAAATGCTATGTACAACATGCACATCCTGAAAAGGTTAACTAAGCTTATTACTACAAACCTGGTCAGTATAAAAATTGTATTTAAGTAATTGCCTAGGAGATACAAGACACCTAAAGATTATTACAGGATTATAAGCTAAAATGTATATGTTCATTAACCTTACTTGATATAATAAGTCATCTTTTCTCCCTTCTTGAATTCTAGGTACTTGACTGATTTTTCAATAACAGAAAATTATTTGCATGTACCATTATTTGCATGTACTGGTAGCTTTCAAGACTTAAGAAGTTATGAAATAATTTACATCATTACCTGGACATCTTTAGAAAAAAGAATGCAATTTTCAAATATGAAATTTATATAAAAGACCAACCATTTCTCTGAACATGCAGATCTCGAACACATTATATGCATAGAAAAAATACTCTGAACACTATCAGTTCATTTTTTTACTTATAAATGCTATCAAATATAAAAATCCTAGACCTTTTTTTTTTTTTTTTTTTTTAAATTTAGAAGCATACTGCTTTAGAATTTTAAAGGTAAAAATGTATAGTACTTCTCATATCTGGGAATGCTGTAATAAAATCACATATGATAGCCACAAAAAAAGAATTTTATTTTTTTTAAACATTAGATTTATCAGAGAGGAGGAAAAATGTATGGATACACAACCACTTTGATTACAGCTGAAAACGAGGTGACTGTGAAATTACAAAAATCAACTTTTCCAAAAGTTTGGATTTTGCTGGAGTCGCCTTTGAAAGTTTTCATACCACTGTTGGACAGCACTTAGGGGAACAAAATTCTCAGTTCGATTAGGCAAAATCTGATTTGGTGTTACTGCAAAGGAACATATGAAATTTACAAAGTTTTCGAGCATTTTATTGGAAAATTCCATAAATGTTGTTGCATTTGATGGAGTACTTGCAGAAATAGGAGTTTGCAACTCTAACTGTGCCAAAGGTTCAACTGAAATGCCAATCTGAGCAACATGTGATATAGGTCGTTCTCCAAATGGTGTCGTCAAGTTTTGCTCTATGGAAAGGAAAAAATTACAATTAAAAGGAAGATATTCTATTTATAACTTAGAAGTCAAAACATGAATTACAGAACAATATATTTTTAATGCTTTGAACATATATGTCCCAATAAAAGTTAAAAATTTACTGCTAGGTTAAAAAGTACTAAGAAACTCACTGTAACATATGTAGAATCTTGTAGAATCAAACCAGTTGTGCATGTTTCATTTTTTGTTACCCAGTTGGCATTAAATATTTTCCTATCAAATGCCATTACTTTTTTTTTCCTTTTTTAAATTTGTAGTCAAAGGGTTAATCTACAATTTAGATAAATCCTTTACAGTTATACATTTTTAGTAATAAGCTAAAAGCTTGTTACTAAAAATATATAATTCCAAACTGCATTCTCGTTTAACAAAATTAAATTTAATGACTACACTAACTTGGTTATGCTTTTTTTTTTTTTTTTTTTTTTTTAAATTAAGACCCAATCTTTGTTAAAGTCTTTGCAATAAAAACATTTTTGTCACAACTACCACTATTAGGCAAAGGAAGAAGGAGTGATTTGAAGTCTTTCGTTTTAAATATTATGCAATTTAAAATTTATCTGGTATTAATTAATGAAGAATCTACATGCATGTACATTCCTTGCATTATGGGGGGGATTACATTTTAGAGAAATTTAATGAATTTTTTATTATTAAGCTCAGTGATATGAAAGCATTGTGTTGCCATTTAGTAATGTATGTGATATTTAACTTTCAGATTTAATCTGTTTGATTAAGCTAAGTAATTAAAATGCAATAAATGCAGTCCTTAAAGTATATATTTTTTCCACTTTATAATCTGCTTAATTTAAATAAAAACCTATTTAATTAGTGACACAGTACAATGCCCGAAATCTGACCATCCAATATCCGAACCACTTAAAACATTTATTTTTTTTCTTTACAAAGTCTGGGCATAAAAAAAAAAGCCAGGTTCGCCATAAAAAGTATTTTTCTCCTGACTAATTAATCATGATTCTTGTATGCCACTTTCAAACATTTGCTGAATAGGGAATCACACCACAGCCAGTGATAATGCATTGTATTGATGTCTGCCCCAGCCACACTTTAGCCCTTAAGTGGTTGGGAAGGTTAGCATTTTTCTATCTGACCTAAATAATAACTGATGCTCCAAGACATACTCATTTAGAATGGGATTTCTTTTGTTGGCATGATAGTTGAAAAAAAAATAATTAGATTTAACTTCACATCCCATAGCAAACTGCACGCCTCCTTTAACTTTCTGATTAGAAGCAACTTACCGTTTTGTTCCACTTACTAAATGACTTCTATTCCATTTTATTATTTCCCTGAAATTGCACATTTGTCAACTAGCTAATGGATTTCATAATTTTTTATGCACTGAAATGCACACATAAAGTAGTTTTTAAAAACCAATCCTGAAGTAAGACCATTCAATAATTCTAGAAATATTTCAGTACAAAATCTGAGGTGTGGGACATTACAAGATCGTAAGAGACGTGTCTGAAGATATTTTCAAAAATGCCTGATATAAGTTACAGCCAACTACTAACTTTTATGATGATGATGAATGCAGTGAATCTGAAGATTTTCAGACATTGTAAGAAAGAGCAAAATTTTCTGATTGAAGGAATATCAAAAGAAATGATGAGTGAAAATCATACAATTTAAGTCTTATACAGTGATGACTATGCTTCAGCCATCAATCAATCAAATGAATTATGAATAGTACGACTTTAAATTCAGAAAATATTGTCACTCTGGCTTCGATAATTTTACATAGAGGTGATTCCGAAAAATATTTCTTAATGAAATATTAATAATGAATTTTTTTTGGTAATTTTTACTCGTCATCTTACTAGATTTAAACTGTCTATCTAAAATCTGGAACCAACAAAGTCCTGATCCGAGACTTTGAAACAAGCTAGTCTTATAAGTTTTTTGGCCTTTTCTTCGGTAAGTTAACAAAGCTTTTTCTTCTAATGTCATGTAGTAGGTAATTGATACAGAAACCTTTTTTTTTTAAAAATTTTTATTTCTAGCCTTTCACAAATTTTTAAAAGGCAAATCTTCTTGGTACTATATTGCAGTTTAATGACTTTTTATGCAACTGGTCTTGCCTACCTAGATTTATGCTAATAATGCATATAGACATTCTTCTATCTAGTCTATTTTATATGTTGTGTTAATATCACTTTAAGTTCCTTTTTTGATTTTTTTTGGCTTTATTGCATAAATAGAAAGAAAAAAAGGGAATTTTATTACATAAATAATATACAGGATGACTGCTACAATATATATATATATATATAAGTTTTTTTCAAACACATTGAGTAAATTTATTATTACTTGCTAGAATAAGATTCATCTCTATTTATGGTAATTTTCATTTATGTAGGATTTAAAACTGATATTCAAAATCAGTTAAAGTCAAAAGTCAATTGGAGCCACAGCAAGGTAATTTCTCAACAGTATTAATAATTGTAACTGCGTATAAGAGGTTGGAGCCACAGCAAGGTAATTTCTCAACAGTATTAATAATTGTAACTGCGTATAAGAGGTTTAACACAATATCTAGACAAATCAAAAATAAAATAAGAATTCATATTGTTACGAAATGTACAGGCGTGGTAAGATAGCTTCCCAAGCAGTTTTAGGGTTGCCATAAAATGGCAAGGGAAGGCAGGGCTGCCACATTTGGTGAGAAATTGTCCATCTGGCGACAAAATTGGCGATATGACATGGACGGATGGAGATCCTTCCGGAATGAATTCTTACCGGTTTAGCCCAGAATGTTCTCGAACACAAGCTGAAAGCTATATAAACCCTGCTTGTCCGCAGTCAGTTAGTGTGAGTGTGTCTCAGAGAGTGTGCCTCGTCTAGCGAGCCGTGCAGAGGTGATCGAGTTAACAGCTGGGCAACGAGTGCCGAGTGGGTCATCGAGTACACCGAAGGGGTCTTTTAGTGCATCATCAAGAGAGCGTGTTGAGCTCTGGGAATGACTGAACTGAAGAGTCAGGAGCTGTGCTCGTGTGTTGTTGAGTGCATCACAAATTGTAGTGTGGAGAGTCTCGAGAGTACGTGGAGTTCCGAGAACGACCAAGCAGAGTCGGGAGCTGTACTCTGGAAAGCAGAGTCAGGTGCTTTGCAGGAAGCTGTCTCCACCATTATTGCTTGACAGTGTAAGGCTGTGTCGCTGATTGTGCCAGCGTGTTTATAGTAGATCTTCGACGACTGTAAAAGTGTTTTGGAGCTGTCCTGACAATACTGGCTAATAAAGTATGTTTCGATACTTCATTAAGTGTCGTCGTTATTCACTCCAAATCTACAAACCCCTGTACGAATGTGAAGGAAGAAAATAACGTAACAACTGGTGTCAGGAAGAGAAAAACACAACAATATGTATAAATTTGATAAAAAAAAAAAAAAAAAAAAAAAAAAAAAAGCAAAAGGGAAAAGGGAAAAAATATACAAGATTATAAAATTTAAAAATTTATCTCCTTTTACTGAAACCAATTCAGCACTCATCACGGGGAAATGAGCAAAAGTTTTATAAAGTCAATTAACATTCATTTGAGATCAAAAACCAACCAAAGAATCAATTAAATTTTCATTTCAGGCATGAAAATTCATATAAAACCGAAAAATCAAATTTTAAATGCACCAGGATTTTTCATACATGCCTTCGAAACATTTGGAAAAAAGAATAAAACATAACATAGTGTCAAATTGACAACTCAAAAAATCATAAAAATATATAATTCATATAAAACCGAAAAATCAAATTTTAAATGCACCAGGATTTTTCATACATGCCTTCAAAACATTTGGAAAAAAGAATAAAACATAACATAGTGTCAAATTGACAACTCAAAAAATCATAAAAACCTTACATTACGTTATATAAAATGATCATTCATATAAACCAAACTGGTCTAAAATCATTATATGCAAATCTGAAATTCAAAAGCAAATACAAATAAAGAGCAGTACAAAAACACTTTAAGCCAAATTGTCATTTAAACAAGCCTAAAAGATTGGGTGGTCCTTCCTGATTATGCCAAACTAAACTTTTAATACAAAAAAAAAAAAAAAAAAAAAGGGAAAACTCTTTAGAGATTTTTTTTAGATAATAAAATCAAAGCTGAGCTTTAATCAGCTAAAAATGAGCTTTATTTATCGAATTTGTACTACTATGAATTCTTATTTGTCTAGATATTGTGTTAAACCTCTTATACATACTTGCAATTATTAATATTATTGAGGAACTGCCTTGCTGTGACTCCAATTTACTTTCGAGTTTAAATGCTCTAAGTTTATTATACTTCAATCCTGCAGATATAGTGCAGGACAGGTATAAAAATTTTGTTTTTAATTTTTAGTCTCATATTAGGTTTCTTTATGTATTTATATATACACACACATAACGTAAAGAATACAGGACTACATTTAATTAAACAATTACTGCACTTGAGTTGCAGAGGATTGAATTTAAAGCAATTATTATAATAAGAAATTTTTCTAAAAAAATTAAAAAAAAGATTTTTCTATCTTAGGAGAAACTGTCTAGGGCATTAATATTGTCTCACGTACATATAGTATTATCTCATACATGTTTTTAACTTTTATTACCCTTTATGAATATATAAACATATTTATAAATAAGATATTGAATAAAACTCTTTTTCTAAAAGTATATAACTAAATTAATAACAAGTTTAATTTTATTTGACTAGAAAGATTAATAAGTAATTCAGATGACTAGAATACTACTGTATTGGTGAAACACACACTGTGTGGCCTGCAGTGCCAATACTATCCTAAATTAGCCTTTACATGTATACTGCTAGACATTGAAAATGCAACACCAAGAAGGAGTGGTCAGAAAGTGATGAAATTTGGAGAAAAAAGGCAGAGACAGCAAGCAGCAATAAGTGATCTTAATTTCAAAATAATTAGTCAGAATACAGAGCGAGAATGGTGTAAGCTTTGTAGGATATAGGACCACCACGGACAACGAAGCACGAAGAAATACGTCTAGGCATAGAGTCAATAAGAGTGCGGATGGTGTTCTGAGAGAAGGCTCTTCATTCCCTTTCAACCATTTGCCACAGTTCGTCGTCTGAACAAGGCACAGGCAGAGTCTGCAAACAGCGTCCAATCACATCCCACACATGTTCAATTGGTGACAGGTCAGTAGAGTACGGTGGCCAGGGAAGCATTTGTATGCCTTGTAGAGCATGTTGGCAGATGTGAGCACTGTGTGTTATCCTGCTGAAAAATTGCATTAGGCAGCCCCTGAAGGTAGGGGATTGCCATCGGCTACAGTACATTATCCAAGCATCGTTTTGCCATCATAGTGCCCTGAATACGAATTAGAGGTGACCTGGAATAGTAGGCAATAGCTCCCCAAACCATTATGCCCCATTGTCGCGCGGTGGGGTGTTCCACAGTTACTGCCGGATTAGATCTGTCTCCACATCGACGCCACACACGTATGCGGTGACTGTCACTGGATAAACAGAAGCATGACTCATCTGAGAACACGACGTTTCGCCGTTCTGTCATCCACATCGCTCCAGTCCGTCTATGCTGTGGGATCAATGGCAATTTTCTTAACGGACGTCGTTAGTGCAGGCCATGTTCAACCAATCGACACGAAATGGTTCAGGTTGACCCGGAACATCCAAGGTATCTTGCACATGCTGCAGAATCGCAGTACAAGTGACTTGTGGGACCAACACAGCTTGTTGGCGGATGCGTCGATCCACATATGCTGATGCCACTCTGGCTGCACCTGCACACATCTTTTTTTCCACATTTCCTTTTTCCAACCATGTTCGCCATAGCTGATGCACTGTGCTCGCATCCATGTGGGTATCAGCTGCGATTTGATGTAAGGACCAATCCGCCCTTCTCAGTCTGATCACCATATCTCTCATAAAATGGTCTATCTGCTGAAAGTGCCTTCGTTGATGGCAGCCTGGCATTCTTTCCTATTACACGTATCCTCCGGGACAAAAACCAGCTTTCTTCAATAATTCGTCTGGCAGAAACAACGACATGAATATTGCCCATTCTGCACATTCCTTCCCTTATATCTTACTTCACATGCATCGGAGAGCTGCGCATTTCACATCATTCGCATAACTCAGTGACGTGCGTCTACTCTAAAATTTGCATAAATTTCTGACCACTCCTTCTTGGTGTTGCATTTTCAATGTCGAGCAGTGTATATAAGCCGGCCATCTTTTTATACACTATGAAAATGAGAAGTGTTTTTAATTTTGTGAAACTACAATTGCTGTAAAAATTCACACCAAAGAATACAAATCCTATATTTGAAAAGGACAAATTAAACAACTCTTTTATAGCTAGTGATAGTAGCTCACCTAACCATAATTTAGATTTTAATTCTGTGAAAGTTATTCACAAAGCTTCCTCAATTAATACTGTGAATTTCCTTTTCATATTTCCAAAAAAGCATCTTCTATAATTGACAGCATTAATTCCAATCCATTTTTTCACAACATTTTAATACTTTTAATTTTAGCCTTTTTATATTTTATACTGTTTTGCTCAACAGATGGCAGAAAGAAATGGTGGAGCCAGAGCTTTTGCTATCTCTTTCAATGCACACCAAACAATCTATAAATGTCAAAACAATATAACAGGACATAAAGGGAAACTCTGCATTCATTTTTTAAATATGACTTTAATTCCAATATTTTGAAGCATAATTTTACTTGTTTTTCTGTTAATAAAATTGTCCATGATAGCCTCAAATTTTGTTCTACATTTTGAGGATTTTTTTTTTTTTTTTTTTAGAATAAACTGGTGGACGGACAGTTCAAAATAACTGTCCTTTCACCTCGATTTTGTGTTTCAAAGAAATAAAACTCTTACACATTCCCCTCTCAGTGAAAAATTCTTCCTTTGAAATAAGGAACAGTGATCACGACAATCCTAAATTGATATTCACATTTTTCATTCAAAAGTTTTGTTGGAAGGCACAGCAAGGACATGAAATTGTTGAAAATCTTGTGAATTTTTTAACTGCTGTGTCCAATGCAAAAGTAATTCTCTTCTCAGTTCAATATCATATGTAAAGACAATTCAGCATCTTATGATTCTTCCCCTCTCTAATGATCTAGTAGATAAGATGGCTACCTAATGGTAGATTAACCCGAATCAAATGTCAAAGAATGAGCTGGGTGCATGGATGTTTTTGTGGTTTAATATATGTGTATTATATGGCATGTAACATGTCATCCATGTGTGCAAGCTATGAATATGAGGCAGTGCTCCTTTTATAATGTAAATATAAGCCATTTACCAGTTTCTAAGCTCTTCACGGAGAACTGAAGTTCCCAATGAAGGTGTTCTTCTCCTTAGGCAGATAAATCTGGTGAGCTTTGCTGTGATCAAATGAATGGCAATTCTTTCTGCTCCAATGATCCATATGACCAACTTCTATTAAATTATATTTCACATTAAAAATGTCACCCAGGCCAGACTGCAATCTTTGTTAGCTACACCATTATAGAAAATTCCTTTTCAAGGGTGGATCTATGCCAGATCTCCCTTGAAATGAATAGAGTTTTATTCAATGTCAGTAGTCTCAAACTGACAGCCTGCAAGCGGCTAGCTGAAGCAATTTTATACGGCCCGCAAATAAATTTCAATTTGTTGCAAATACAGTGTTGCAAAGATTTCATCATTTTAGTTATTTAAAGTCTGAGATTGCATTATTTTCATTACTCTTAAAAACAAATAAAAATAACACACCAAAAATGTATATAAATGGAGCTAATTAATTTACAGTGTGATATAAATCTTATTAAAAATTTTGAAGGTGCAGATTTCATTAACTTTTTCAAACTTGTTGAAAAATAAATAAGCTAAGTTACGAATTTTTGCACTAAGAATAATCACTTTGCCCAGGAATACACTTACTATATATGAAGAGCTTTCTTTCACATTTGAAAATTAATGGAAAAAAAAAAAAAAAAACGATTGACTGATAAGCATCTACAATCTGTTATGAAGGTAATTTAGTAATATTTCTTAAAGATCACAAACTTTATCAAATGTCAAACTGTAATAAGAAATCAAAAGAAGTTTATAATCATTTGAATAACAGTATACATATTTTTACTTATGCAGTGAAAGAAAAATTCAATAAATAAGTTAATAAGACTAGGCTGTCATTTATTTTCAAGTTTTATCCCATTTGGAAAATTTTTCTCTTAAAACTTATAAAATTTTCTTAATTTATTTTTCTTTAGTTTACATTAAATTAAGTTATAATAATAATAATCTGGGATTGAATCCCCAGGCTGGGCAATGTTGACTCAGCCTTTCATCCTTTCACGGGCTGATAAAATGAGTACCAAGTTCACTTGTGGACTAAACATCGGGGAGGGGGCTGCGACAAGCTGACCACTTGCCTAGTGCATATATTGATGCCCCCCCCCGGGGCCCAAGGTCAAGAAAGCAGATTTTGGGGCACTGCAGGCCATGGTCCACTAGGGCTGTTGAGCCACCGAGCTTAGTATTTTGCCAATATAATGTTAGTACCATTGTTCAATGTCTATTTAAAAAAAAAGTTTAATTATTATTTGTCATTTTGACAAAGACCTTGAACAAAATTAGCAAAAATAAAAATATTTCCAAATTTGCTGCATAAACCACTAAAACTGTCTTTTTTCTAAATCTCATGTTGGATTTTTATTTTGACTCATTTTTTGATATAAACATACACACAAATCATAATCTTGTATACACATGCCAAAATAATGTGCCATTTCATAAGAACTACAATTTAGCAAACATACACAAAATGATAACTCATATCTTCATTGTTATAGTATTTTCAATAGCTCATCATAAATCTCACTTCAGACAGACAGCCTCATATTTACCTGGTTTAAGCTTAGAAATTCGGAAAATGGCACTGGGTTTCGCATTTGTAATGAAACCCAACAGCTGCCAAGAAGGTGCGGCATTAGGATCAGGCCAACTGAAATAAACTAAAGAGGAAAAAATTTCATTAAAGAATTAGTTTCAAAATGTTTATTTTATGCATTAATTTTTATTATACTGAAATATTATAATAAAAAAATTATATTAAAAAAACCTCCAGTATTTTAAACTAAAATATGTAAAAAGAAAAGTTGGACAAACATTTAAGATAAACAGAAATTATATGCATGACTTTGTTTGCAATAGTTCACAGTTTTTAATAGGTTTCTCAGGTTTTTGAACAATTACCAATTTGTAACAATTTCTATTATAATAGTCTTAAAAAGAAAAACTTGGTTATCCTATTGTTTATAAAAAAAATAAACCTTCAAAATGTTTCCAGAATTATCAGTGAGATCAGTAAGATCTTACATCTGCTGTTAATAATAGTACAACAGCCTCTTCCATTGAGTTTGCTGACTTCAGAGTTTTACTTTCCTTCACATTTACTGTAGGTAATCATTCAGCAAGGTTTTTGATTTTCCACTAAAAGATGAATGATGATTAAAATGATTTATAAGATCATTTTCCATATCTTTTAACACAGTTTCCGATGCTAAATCACATTCTTTGTTACTGATGAAAAAGAAACAGCACATAGAAAATGCATTCAAACAAGATGAATCATGAACATTAAGAAAGCTCAAAACAGCTAGGAAAATAACAAGTGGATCAAGATTAAAAAATAAGAGTGACTTTCAAGGGTAGAAATGGAACCAACCATTAAGAGAAATATGCCTTTTGAAATATTTAGTTTTTCCTGAAAGTACTCACTCATTTCATCATACAAATGGAACATGAGAAGTTATTCTGGATTCATTTAAGAAATAATATTTTGGTATTTTATATTTACACAGCAACTACAATATTAAATCCTTTTTAAAGAGAATCATGTGAATCATTAATTACATTTTGGTTACAAAATATCTTTAAATATTAGGAAAAATATAAAAAGTTCTAGTTAATGTTTGTTTGTGACTAGCATTTATGTTACTTCTACAAATATCATAAAAGTCTGATAAACCAAAATTATGAACTAAACTAAGATCGAGTTTAGCAATTGAGTGAGCCTGGAGAGCAATCCTTTCCAATTTTAAAAGCGGGCTTCTTCCCCCCCCCTATTATTGAAAAATACATACAGATTTTATAATGTAAAGTATAAACACAGACTATATAATTTAATATCCCAATTTATTTGTATACATTATAAAACATGCAAGAAATCTTGGACCAGCAGATAACATTTAGTTAACTTTGTTCATAGATGTATTATGTCAATCAAAACTTACATTGTACTAAAAGATTTTTATGGAAGTGAATAAACTAACAAAAGAAGAAATAGAAAGGATATTGAAAATAAATAAATAAATAAAAAGTCCCGTGTTGCAGATTCAAAGTAAGTTTTTTTTTTCCATTTTGTATACTTTTATTTCCAGGTAAGATAACAGCAGAAAAACTTCCAAGTGTTGCTTGCACAGACAATCAGCGAGATATGTTACTGAAAAACTCTTCACCACAATCTATATAAATATATCAAAAGATTTAACATAAGATTGCAATGATCTACTTAAAACTTAGAGAAACATTTTAGGTACTTTTCCGTTTTGCCAGCGCAGGCGATTAAAGTCACCAATAATGGTAGAACCAATGACGAATGGAATATCCTCACTGGTAACCTTTTACGTCTTATTTTCAAAACAAGTTGCAGCCATTTCTTATCGGATTGATTGTTTCTTCCAATACTGGCATACAGTTGCATAGAATTTTTACCAGATATTTCAATTTTATGCCCTAAGGCCATTCGCGGGCAGTAATTAAGTCAATTAGGATGCAATCACACTGCTCACACGATGGCGAAAATATAGAAAAGGCAAAGTCAATGGTTAAATTTATCAATTCTAACGAGAATGCACTAGCGAAGTAAAGCACTCCGGTTCTACATAATTTCCGCAAAGTCAATGGTTAAATTCATCAATTCTAATGAGAATGCACTAGCGAAGTAAAGCACTCCGGTTTTACATAATTTCCGAGTAAGCTATTCGTAAGAATTGAAATAATTCTTGCATTTAAACTTGTATTCCAAATTAAGATTTAACTTGAAATTAATGTAGGTAATTACTGAGAGAATTAGATTTTTGTAGCGTAATTTACTCCAAGATGAGATCACTTGGGTCATGTGACATGAACTGGCGAATCAGGATATTTTACCATGAAAGCATAGTAAATTCTTAAACTGTCTTTTTAAAAATTTATTGGCTTTTTTACAAAATTTTAAATGATGTTAAAAAAATAAAAATTCAAATAAAATTTCTTGGAACTAACTTTGTCTACATTTTTTATGTGTATACTGTGTGTTGTCGCCAATAAACTGTGCTTGGCGAGATTTGCGCTAGCGAAACGGAAAAATACCACATTTTAAAAGGTAGAAAGGTAGACAGATCACTTAGTTTTCCCTCCACTTACATTGCACGAATGCTAGATGGTGTAAGACTTGATCAGAAGAGATATTTTCTGGAAAAACAGTCTAAATGAAGACGATGTCAGTATATTTCTTGCAAAAGCTACCCTTTCATTTATTGCAAAAAATGCAGTGTTTTTTCCTCTACTACCTATTTCAGTAAGTATCATTGTAAAAACTAAATATTTTAAATAATGAACTCTTTTTTTTTTAAATGATTTTGTTTGCTTTTTTGGCCAGCGATTGCTATTTATAGGTCATCCTTCTGTGAAAAAACAAAATATGGAGGGGGAAGGGGGAACTTTTTTGTTTCAGTTGATTCTAACCAATACAACTCAGAAATTCCATTATTCATAAAATTTCAACAAGGGAGAAAAAGTAATAATTTGGTCATTAATGAATTAATAAAAAATACCCCCAAAGAATATATCTGATGGTCTTTCATTCTTCTTCTTTTCCATAAAAATTCTCAAGAAGGATTTTGGTTTATCAGTATTTAAGGGCACTCATGCCACACAGACAATATACACTTACTTTTCAGGATTTATACCCAGCCCCAATCATAAAGCATTCAGCTTCAGTAACCACTATATCAATCACAGCGATTCACAGTACGCAAATGGGAAAACATGAAAACTACTAAGCAGTCAACATATTTGCAGGGATTTGAACAAGTCAACCTACCAGAGTTCAGTGTTATTACTGCTCGCATGGTGGTGGGCACCGAATTCTTGAAAGATGGTTAGAAATATCTTGTTCCGTAGAAGTAAATTCTGTAAGCTTTCGTTTGACTTTATTAATTGAATAGCCAAAAAATTACAGATAAGAAACAGTTAAGGGTTACTGAAGGGCCAATGGAGATGTTTCTTGGGAAAAAATACTAACAAGAAAATTTGACCTGTTACAATTCAACTACACCAAACACCACCTTGGTTGGCATTCTGCCAAAACATTTAGGATCATCCAGAAGAACTGTTATGTGCTGCAGGTAAAGGAGGTCACATAAGAGTTTGTTCTTCTTCGGAAAGAGGGAATTTTTTTTCAAAGCAGGATAAGTTCTCATGTTTGGGTTGATCCTATCATTAGGCCTTTATTTCATATTTGCAGAAAAACCATGAAGATTTGCATTGATGTGCAATGTTAGTAACAAAAATATGTTGAGTACTGAACACAGTGAAAAAATAAGAATAGAAAAAAATCCCTACAGCATGTTTCATTCACCCTATTTCATCAATAAATCAATCTGAATGTGTATGTATTTTCATGCTCATGGTTGCAGCCGGTGCAGTTAAAACATTATAACTAGTAAGTACTAAGTCTTATAAAATAGTTATTTTTATTATAACTCACGAGCAGAACAGTACTTATGTTCAGTACAAATAATTAAACAAACTTCTTTCACCCAAGAATTTGAAACTTTTCAATGGAAATGCAACTAATCAGTAGGTACCATTACTTCTATTACTTTTTAAAGTAAGTACTTGAAGGTTTTATTTTGTAGATGTTCTGTTACAAACCTAAAACCTGTAAGTGTGTTGTGGCTTGAACTTATACAGAAACTTCAAATACTAATTAATATCCTTTTATTTGTTTTTTGCTGTTTTCAGGATGGCAACAAAAAGATTATTCAATTTTTGTTGTCCTTGGAATGGCAACAAAAGATTATTAATGATATTGTTCTAGAGAGTTGTTTACATTTGCTAATAATGAAATAAAGATTATTTTTGATTTAAAACATGAATTGACATTGTTTGATGAAACAGAGTTGTAAAAATAAAGATTAATTTGGAGTCAGAGTCAATAATTGGTGACTTGGACTTTCGATTTTAAAATAAATACGTCTGAGGATGATAAAACTGTAATGGATCCTGCGCACGAACTGCGTAAGGCAAGTGTCAAAATTTCTCCATTTTGGTTGGATCGCACAGAAATATGGTTTTTTCAAGTTGAGGCTCAGTTTAAGATAAATGGAATTATTTCGGAAGAAACAAAATTTAACTATTTAGTATCACAGTTAGAACCCAATATCCTATTCCTAGGATAGAGGACTTCCATCATATTTTAAAAGGTACGAATATTTATTCCAAAACAGATTTATTTAAAGCCTACTATCAAGTGCCCATTGCCGAAGAAGACAGATGTAAAACTGCTATTATTACGCCTTTTGGATTATATGAATTAATGTTATGAGTTTTGGTTTGAAGAATGCACCAGCAACGTTCCAAAGATTTATAAACACAGTTCTTTCTGGTCTAAATTTCGCTTTTCCATACTTAGATGACATTCTGATAGCATCTGCTAGTGAAGAACAACACAAAATTCATTTGAAGCTTGTGCTTGAGAGATTAAATGTCTATGGACTCCGCATTAGTGTTTCCAAATCCATCTTTGGCACACAGGGTTATTTAATTACTCCTCAAGGATCACGACCTTAAAGTGACAAAGTCCAAACTTTTGTTAATTACAAGCTTCGAACAACCATTCAAGAACTCAGAACATTCTTAGTCCTTATTAATTTTTATTGGCGATATTTAAAAAATGCACCAAAAAACGAATCTTTGTTCTTGGTCCAATCCAAAAAATTGGACCAAGAACAGTATCTGATAAATATGTCCAAAAAACATCCGTCCCTAAAGATTTGAAAACAACATCACATGTGTTTACTCGTGAAGACAGAGTTAAAAAGCAATTAGAACCCCCTTACGATGGTCCTTTTCAAATGGCTGACAGAAAAGAAAAATATTTTACAGTAAAAATTAATCACAAAGATGTTACAGAGTCTATTGATAGATTAAAGCCTGCATATTTCTTGCAAACACCAGATATTACTACGAAGCAACCAACAACATCAACGAGACAACTTGTCAAACCTCCAACAGACTTACCTCCTAAAATTAACTAGTTTCCTGCAAAACAGTCGCATGTAGGGCAGACAATAAAAACCCCTGTACGATTTTGGGACTAGCATTTATATGTATCAGTAATATATATATATATATATATATTGGAAATAGTGTATTTTAAAGGTAATATTATGCTCTACCGTAACTTGGTTACTGGGAAGGGAGTTAATATCGTTTTATTTGTTTTTTGTTGTTTTCAGAATGACAACACAAAGATTATTCAATTTTTGTTGTTCTTGGAATGGCAACAAAAGATTATTAATGATATTGTTCTAAAGAGTTGTTTACATTTTCTGAAAACAAAATAAAGATTATTCTTGATTTAAAATGAGGATTGATGTTGTTTGATGAAACAGAGTTGTAAAAATAAAGATTAATTTGGAGTCAGAGCCAATAAGTGTGCTACTTTTCATAATTTTTTAACAGTTTAAGAACTTTTCGGATATTGGTTACTTTTAATTTATAACACAGAATTATCATCATTTTTATAAATTCAATGCTCATATTTGTCTCTTATCAAGCCTCATTTTATATTACTCATTCACTTCAAAATTAGGTCTAAATTAATAGCACTCATCCAAACTTTGCCAATTTTATTTTGGGCAAAACTGAACAAGATCTGCTACTAAACATAAATAGTGTCATCTATTTAATCTTTCTGATTAGCTTAACAACACACAATGATAAAAATTACAAAGTAATTACACGTACAGCAACATCATCCCAACTTGTCATGCAACAAATCTATTAGAAAAACTTGTCATGCTGTCAGGCAACATGTCAGCTCATGCAGATTGAATTTCAGTATCTTTTAGAAAATGGGAACAAAAGAGAGCACCTTACAATCAATTTGACTTTATATATTTGGGTTTTTATTATACATATTAATTTTTCTTTTCATTTTATATGTATATATTTGTTAAATTTAATTATATATGCACACACACCTATCTATCTGTGTGTATACACACATACCAGAATACTTTTAGTAATGCCTTTAATTTTGGTGTTGCAAAAATAAATAAATAATAATAAAAAAAAAAAAAAAAACAACCCAACCACATCTCTGTCATGGCAGCTTTGAGAAATAAGGAATTTTAAAACCAAACACTTGGCTGGTGGGAGGTACTAATGGGAGGAAAGGAGAAACTATTCTAAACTGTTGCTTTTTAAAAAGTCTTATTAATTTTTTAACAAAGCAAGAACTTGTGATATTTTACCATATCGCATGAGAATAAATATTATCCCTATAAATGCAAACTATGACTATTTAATGGGAATAAAATGATGGTATTTCCTTGTTAAAGTTGGCCCTAGCATAAGCCTTTGACAACATTTGAAATTTGCATAGTATAGGATGGGTGATTAAATTTGCTTGTTTAGGGAACTAAATGAGTAAACTGCTTTAACAAGTCAGTACTAAATTATTTTTGAATCAAATTTCTTGGAAAAACATGTATGAGTTATGAAAGATATTACATAGAAATAATTTCAAACTATGATTCACCTTATAATGCTTTAAGTGAGCATAATAGAATAAAAGTTCATAAAATGCAGAATGCAAACGAGTGAGAATTCCAGATAGCCGAGCATATAAAAAATGCAATGCACGGCAGAAAAGCCACATGAATAGAAAAAATAAATTTTTGGTCTAAAGTTACAAAAACAGTAACATTATTTGATATTAAAAGCCTAGATTACACCCCATTATGTAGGATTTTGGAGAAAGAAAAATTCAGACAGATTAGCTGACTTATTTTGTAAGTCTGAAATTATACGAAAATTAAAACCATCTTTTCCAGTTATGAAATCTCATGAAGCCATGAAAATAAATAAGATGCTACTAAATTTATGCCACTCATTCCAGGAAAAGTTTAAAGGAACAGATCATTGTTTATTAAGTTATCTACATGTTAAAGGTATAGTATATAAAAAAACTTATCGCTTATAATGATTTTTCACATTAAATGTCCATTGTTTATTCATTTTCAAATAAAACTACATTTCATACCCATTTATGCATGCTTTGTTTGATGCCCTGATCTTGTAAATTTCAAAATACTTCACAGCATGGTGTTCTGTAGAAAGTCCAAAACTTTAATAATTTTTTCAAAATTGAAGAAAAAACAGATAAATAGAAATTAATTTTTATTCTTTTACAAAAACTAAACCATCTTATGGAGAAGGAAACAGGGTTGTTTACATAAAACTATGGTGAAGATTTTATGATGTTAGTTTGGTGATAGTGTCCTGTGCATGCTTTATAGGTGTCGTCAGGGTTCTTCCTGATTATTAAATACCCTTGAAAAGTATTCATGAGGTAACAGACTATGTCAATAAAATAAGCAATTCAAAATGTTGTCAAAACATATTTATGTGACTTAAATATACTTAGAGCAGAGCAGTCGAACAAAGATTTTTGTCTTCAAATTTGACAGTAATTTTTTCGATTAGCATTTGCTTTTGTATTGAACATATTTCTTTTGCTTGTAAGGAGTTTTAATGAGACTGTGAAGTCTGCCAATAGATAAAAGAGATATTGCTGCATTTTTTCAGAAACAGGGTAGTTTTTCCAATTGCAGAAAATGGAAAAATTTGCCTTCTATGAAGTTGCTCTTCTTAAACAAACAAACTTTGCATATTCTGAATTTTTTTAAGCAAAAGCAGACTGATGCATACAGAGGCCAAACCCTTCCCCTCCCAAAGTAAGGATTTCTTGAAAAATGTAGGACTTTTAATGGAATTTTTAAGAGTACCACTATTTTTAAAAGGCTGTTGCCATTTATGTATTACTTGGTGAAAAATAAGTCACTTCGGGAAGCGATGTAGATAATGAAATCATAAAGTATCCTTATTTGCTTACTTTTCCAGATAGAGAGCGATTTTTAAAAAAAAATATTCTAATTACTTGAGCTTTCTAGTCAGTTTAATACCAAAGAGTCATGCATTTTACTGTCACCTGTTTAAAAATGGCATAAAATGCTAAAAAGAAATTATAATGTTTAAAAAATTTCCATTTAAAACGGATAATTCTAACCATACCTGAACCTCCAACACCATCAGGAAATGGTTGAGATCCAGTCAAAAAAACAACAATATGGTTGATGCTATCAGCATCAAGAATATGAGTCACAAATTTTGTGGCATCAATGCTTTGAAAATCTGTTTGGACCTAAAAATCAACATAATATACAATAAGACACTTTTAAATATACAATAAGATATAATATACAATAAGACACTTTTTTTTTTTTTCTAAAAGAAACGGCTGATCTTTGGAATATGGTAACTGGTAGTTTGGAGACATTTTGGAGACGATAAAGGTTACTACCTAGGACTTTGGTGATAATGTGAGAAGTACTCAGTTCCGATTACGCATTATTTTGTGTGAGGGAAATGAGAGATCATGAGATATGTCATGTGACATTAATGGACGAATTATAGTTCTTTAATCGGAAAAGGGGGGGAATCTGGAAATTTTGTATTTAGCTTTATTCTGTCTTATGTGAAACAGTGTTGGTTGATTTTTTGATCCCATGGCCCTAACTAAAGTGAATTCGAAATGGGTATTTAGGCATTGTGATAAAGAGAATTTTGGTTTTTATTTAGCGGAGGAAGTATGGAGGAAAAATTCGCAGAAAAAATCTTTCAATAATTTTATTGAATGAATTAGAAAAGTGTAATCCACCACGTAATCAAAGATTCTGAAGAAGATTAGGTAAGTTAGTATTTTTTAATTATTTGAGGAATTTATTTTTATGCATTGTTCTAAAATGTAGGAGGTAAGTAATAAAGTAATATGGTATTATTGGAAAATTGTTATTAGCAATGATTTTTAGTTTAAAGTAATTAGGATTGTAAGCTAATTTTTATTAATTTAATGTATGTGCTTATTTATATTTAAGTAGCGTTTTTGAAATTTAATTATATCTTAATTAAATGATAGTTATTTTGTGAATTTTATGTTTGTAGGAATTGGTATACGTTTCAGTGAAGTAAACGTGCATGGAAATAATTTAAATATTTGACACTAAGTATTTGTAACCATTGTAATGTTTGTGTGTATGAATTCGTGGTGACGGTTTATAATATAATAGATAATTTAGAGGTAAAAAAAAGTTTTGGATATTTTATTTATTTTATACGTGGAAATGTTCATCCTTGGAAAAGGGTATATACTTTTTCACGATCAGGTAATTTCATATATGTGCTTTTACCAAGTTTAAAGATTCACAGAATTTTTTTTGCATTTTTGAGCAAATTTTTGTAATTTATGAGAAAGTAGCAGTGTGTAGATGGATAAAGTTAAGAGTGTGTGCAATGCCATTTTTTGTGCAATTCTGGGATGTTTTTTTAAGTAAAAGTAAGTCGACGTGTAAATGGTTTATGTGTATTTGCTATTCTGAAAAACGCGCAAGGAGTTTGCGATTGTGCACTTTTTCCCAGTTTTTCAGTTTTCAGTTAATATTTGTCATGATTAAGCAGTTTTGTTACATAAAAATTTCTAGCATAAGTGTAATTCGGCTAGTAGATTGTTGGAAAAAGTTGTTCGGTAAAAAAATAAAAAGAAAAGAAAGAAACATGTCTTTACTTCGTGAAAACAAAATGGCGGCCCCCCCCCAAAAAAAAAAAAAAAAAAAAAAAAAAAAAAAAAAAAAAAAAAAAAAAAAACAAAAAAAAAAAAAAAAAAAAAAAAAAGAGGGTTGCTGTAGCAGAGTTGGTCGCCAAATTTTCGCCAAGTTACCATAATCCAAAGATCAACCAAAGAAACAAATGATTTATTTTACTTAATTATAATTTATAGTCTTACAACAATACTGTATATAGGTATTTATAACACATATACAGGCTATAACAGTAAAAATGATCAAAACTTTAAGGTATGAGAATATGATAAAAGTAATGATTTTCATAATATAATGTGTGGTGGAATATGAATGTTGAAATTGCCATAAGGATAGGATTACTTTCTGTTCTTAAAGTGTTTTAGATTAATCACCACAGTTTTCAAAAATTTGAAAACAGAATGAAATGGAAGAGGAAACAATCAATATTTTTCCAAATGCATTCATAAATTATACTATAGAATACAGCATTGCAAGGAATGTAGATTCTACATATCAAAATTACTATATAAATTAAGCCCTGGAACTTTGCAGATGCACTGTGTATTACTTGAGTCTCTAAATAACATATTTAATTTTGTCAGTTTTTAAATCAGAGAATTAGATTATAGCGATACCTCATATAAAGAATACAACCTGTTCCAAGATAAGATAACATTTGTTATGCAAGTTGTTCATTACATATGATGCTTTTCTTCTTCACAGATTAGAATGGGGACAATTTTAATCTCTGTTTATAACTACATTCGTACTGTATATAAATGTATCCACATAATCTGAATTTTTTCAAAAATGTATTGAATGCAATATAAATTAATGCACTCTAAAAATATCTGATAGAGATGCTAATGAAGAACTTCAAAGGAAAAGTTTAACATTATAAGCACAGTATAAATAACTTTTACTAATAATAAACATGCAACTGTTTTTTTTTTAAATCAAGACTTAATGAAAATTCTAAAACAAACTTAAGGCTTTCATGCATTTTTTTTTTTTTTTTTTTTTTTAAATTTTTAAACCTGCATTCTCTTTCAGAAAATACTCTAATGAATAAGAGGAAATCAAGAGAATAATTTACAGAAAACTAAATTTTTATTTAACATTTTACTTTGCATTAAATAAAATCATATTAATGCTAAAAGATATCAGATTCCCATTTTGACTTCATTAAAACAAGCTTCTGGAGACTTTCTCTTCCCAATGTGAAAGAAGAAAGTTGCAATATTTGCAAGGCAAAATTCAAAAACGAGAATAACGAAGTCTTTCTTTTTAGAATGTCAGATAATTAGATTACAGTGATACCTCATATAAGGAATACAACTTGTTCCAAGATAGATAACATTTGTTATGCAAGTTGTTCATTACTTGTGATGCTTTTCTTCTTCACAGATTAGAATGGGGACAATTTTAATCTCTGTTTATAACTACATTTGTACTGCATATAAATATATCCACATAATTTGAATTTTTCAAAAATGTATTAAATGCAATATAAATTAATGCACTCTAAAAATATCTGATAGAGATGCTAATTAAGAACTTTAAAGGAAAAGTTAAGTTTCACATTATAGGCAAAGTATAAATAACCTTTTTTAATAAAGTAAGGATTTGAAAATATCCACTTCTATTAAAACACATCGATTTTTATTAAAATAAAGGCGTGACTACTGAAAAAGTTTCAATTTCGCTTTATGAAAAGTGTAAAAACTCCCACGACTAATTTCTAATACATTTCGCGAATCTGATAAAAAATTAAAAATAATGCATCTTTCATTATTAATAACATTTTTAAGTACATATGAAATATTACAAGTAAAAAGGCATATATCAACTGCCTGGAAACTACGAGAGAATTCATAAAGAAATAAAAAAATCCATTTAAATCATTTGCAGAAAAGAATTTAAGAAATCAATATAAGATGAAAACTTTATTAAAGGTTAAACGAAATATAATACAGGTTACTTAAATTTAAATGCCACTGATATAAATAAATTAAAACAACATAATAGCAGTGGAAAAAAGTTATTCATGGCATTACCAATCTGCCTGCAACAATAACAGCAAACATCGGGGCAGCCATGCTTCAAAAAATTATACTTGTCTAAATAATGTTAAGAAATCAATATAAGATGAAAACTTTATTAAAGGTTAAACGAAATATAATACAGGTTACTTAAATTTAAATGCCACTGATATAAATAAATTAGAACAACATAATAGCAGTGGAAAAAAGTTATTCATGGCATTACCAATCTGCCTGCAACAATAACAGCAAACATCGGGGCAGCCATGCTTCAAAAAATTATACTTGTCTAAATAATGTTAAAAAGGGTGATTTAAAGGAAATTATATTTAAGATTAACGCTTATACTTAAAGCACCCATCAAAACATACAAGGATCGGACAGACAGACAGATAAAGTAGATAGATGTCATGTTTTGCACGCGTTCAGTCTTTCTACACCGATGGGCGAAAAATCAAGCTTAGGTGCGAAGGAAAGGTAGTATATAGAAAGGACACAATTTCGGTTTCCAGAGAAGAGTAAAAGGAACTTCGTATTGTTTTATACGAGTTAAAAGGCCTGGAAGAAAAATTGGGACAAAATAAATTTAATAATAAATGGCCCAAAGTAGTTAAGAGGAGAAAGGAAAGGGAAAAAAAAAAAAAAAAAAAGAAAAAAAAAAAAAAAAAAAAAAAAAAAAAAAAAAAAAAAAAAAAAAAAAAAAAAAAAAAAAAAAAAAAAAAAACAAAAAACAAAAACAAAAAAAAAAAAAAAAAAAAAAAAAAAAAAAAAAAAAAAAAAAAAAAAAAAAAAAAAAAAAAAAAAAAAAAAAAAAAACAAAAAAAAAAAAAAAAAAAAAAAAAAAAAAAAAAAAAAAAAAAAAAAAAAAAAAAAAAAAAAGAAAAAAAAATAAAAAAAAAAAAAAAAAAAAAAAAAAAAAAAAAAAAAAAAAAAAAACAAAAAAAAAAAATTTTTCTTCTTTTCAGCTTCCCAAAATATACCTAAGGTCTCTACAGTGGCGCCCGAACTAAAAGAGTGTTAGACGATGATTCTCCTCACATAGGATTTGGCGATTGGGTCCCCTAAAAATCCCAGTCGCCCTTTAAAAGGGGAAGTATATAAGGTATTTCTCCCACCTTCCTAGCGTGCCTTCGTGGTATAGTAGTACCGCTAGGCGGGTATTCCAGAGGTCCGTGGTTCGATTCTCGGCGAAGGCGATTGCTCATTTTTCATCTTGCCTGAATCCAAAAAATACTTCTACATCATATTTAATTCTCTACATCATATTTAAAAAGAATCAGTTCCCAGAAAAAAATTCATAAAGAGTATTTTAAAGAATAATTTCGTTTAAGTCATAGATTCTTCGAAAGTTGTTGTTTGGATTATATTTTCACGAAGAGCGTTTTACTAGATTAGTTTACAAGCTGTCAAAAAATGATATACACTACGGTATATTACTGCTAGACGAGTAAAGACATGGTAGAGTGTTTAAGAATGAGTTATTAAATGCTTTTACATCCTACAGGTATTTGCAGTAATTTCGAAACATTTGAAAACATCAATTCATAGGAGCCAAATGAGTGTTTTGTAAATACTTAACAGTTCTCGAAAAGTTTGGAATTGAAAAGAAAATTGTTGTTGACGGTAATAGAGTCTCGCTGGACACCTTCATTTTCTAGCATTGTATATTGCAACTGACCGAGATGGTGATGCTTGGTAATATGTTCTCAAGTGTGTTATCGCTCTTGAATATTGAAAAGCTTACAAATTCTACATAAGGTGAATGGCTATGGTACTAAGCAGTGTTTACAAATAACCCACAAAACCCTTTAAAGAGGGAAAAATAGGCTTTCTTCGTCCTTTTCATCTTCTTACTTTTCATCTTTCAAGTTCTGTTTTGCCAGTGTTCAAGAATTTTATTATTTTGACAAATGTCCGGCAGACTTGAATTAGTCTCTCTATTGTGAATGATAAATCTCCTTGGTCTTCCTTTGAAAAGGCGAAGCTCTTCTACAGTGGGATATAATCTCCTGAAAATTTAACAAATGTGGAACACAGAGGAGAATTATTTCAAAGCAAGAACAAATCGATGAGAGAAATTAGATAAGGCCCAAAAATGCAACCTTTTGCTTGAAAATTCTGAAGTTTTCCGAAAAGTAGCAATTGTTTTGATTGCTGTAAGAAACCTTTGAAAATGCGTCCAGCACTGTCTAGAGATACTATAACGAGTTGATATCTTTGAAATTTAGTCAATTCTTCAATGCATCTAAAGAAAAATAGCTTTGCTGAATTTTTAATGGTCGAAAAAATGCGGCAACTTTCTTGCTTTCTTCTTAAATGATAGTCAGTGATTTCAACTAGAAACACATATATATTTTTCTTGAACTGAAGGGTTCACATAAGGTATTTCCGGACTCCTGGAACAGGTTAGGATACTTTAATTCTTCAGTGAAGATTTTTTAAACATTAGTGAAAATAGTTCTATGTCTTGTAACTTCAATACTGTCACTTAAAATCCAATCATATTCTCTGAGCCTTAATTATCCTCCGCTGATATATCGTGTGTTTCTGAGCTTTTATAACCATCTGCTGTCATCCACGTGGCGTGCTTCTAGCTCATCGCACACGACTTTTTAGTTGGAGAAAAAAATAACGAAACCTATTTTAATTAACAACAATAAAGCTCTGCGTGTCCTAAATTCTACTGTTCAGTGCATCTCAAAATTCTAAAAATTTTGCGATGCCAAGATTTTTCTGCTCTGGTCTCTACACTATATTTTAAAAATTTTGCCATTCCCAAATTTTGCTGTCAGTATTTCTCTAAATCCGTGTTTCCCAAAGTGGGGCCCACGCCCCACAAGAAGGCAATGCGACTGTTAAAGGGAACAGTTCGAAAATGGACTCGTCCAGAGTTTAAGGGGACAAAGGACGTTCTAAATATGTATCATGAAGTCAAAATTTTTCGAAATTTCATATTTTATTCCCCAAAATAAAGAAAAATGTAAGTGATGTATACGTTTGAAGGCACATTTGAAGGCGAAACATAATGCTGATATTAATTCAGATTCGAATTATTTTCACACTTTAAGGAAAATTATTTAAAATACAGTTATATTAAAGTGTCTATTTACTGCTCATAATGCAACTGTTAATCGTGCTCTGGAGGCTATTTATCAAATTTCATTACTCATCGCTTAATCTGGGAAAAGCCATACTATAGGGAAGAATTTAATCAAATCATCAATATCAGCATTTAAACTGTTCTAGAAAAAGATGACAAAGACATTAAAGCTATGCCACTAAATAACAATACTGTTTGATGAAGAAAGATTAAATGAGTGAGTATATTGAAATACAACATGTTGAAAAGCTGAAAACAAGAAAATTTTTTGGTGCAAATGGATGAACCAACTATGAGAGACAGTGAGGCCGTACTTGTAACTTATGTAAGATATATTCATAAAGGGTATTTTGCCGAAGAAATGTTCTGTAAATCATTAGAAAGCACCACTACCTCCAAAGATATTTACAGTAAGCTAAAAAAAAACTTACTAGATATAAAAAAAAATTACCAAAAAAAATTATAATACATCTTGTACTGCAGATGGTGCTCCTAAATGATCGTTGAAAAATAAAATAAAGCCACGGAATAAGAAAAAGGTTAATAAAAAATATAATACATCTTGTACTGCAAGATGGTGCTCTAATTGATCGTTGAAAAAATAAATAAAGCACGGAATAAGAAAAAGTTTAAAAAATGATAAAAGATGAGAATCCAGAAATGCTTCTTGGCATGTGTTATTCACAGAGAACACCTTGGTATAGCTAAAATAAAAACAATCACCTGTTCTAAATGAAGTACAAGATTCAGTTATAAGTGTATCAATGCTATTAAAGCTAGGGCCAAATGTGGAACGCCTTTTCAGGTTATTTATGAAGGAAAACAAAATGAGATTATATGAGACTTGTACTTCACACTGAAGTAAGAAGGCTGTCGAAAGGGAAACTGCTGTGGAAAGATTTATGGAACTATTTGATACTCTTATTATTTTTTAAGCAACAAACCTGAAATGAGAATCCGTTAACGGATGATAACAAGGCAATTGTGAGTTATTTAGCCGATATCTTTGAAAAATTGAATATATTAAATAAACAAATTCAAGGAGCAAATAAAACTTATGTTGATGCAAAAGCGAAGATATTTGGTTTCATTATCTTTGTCGAATTAAGTCAGGCATATACTATTTACTACAAAAATTTTGAAAAGCTTCATCGGCTCTAAAAATGTGACGTGACGGCTACCGCTATATTTGTTATTGTCGATCATCTGAAAAATTTATCGCTGATTTAAAAGATTTTGTTACTGAAACAAAATTGATTTTCCAAGTTGGATGATGCAGTCAATGGCAGTGGATTGGCTGATATTTCAAATATGCAGTAAAAAAGAAAACTCACAGAAATGCAAAATGATGAGTCATTAAAAACGTTATTTAATAAAATGAGGATGGGACATAGCTTTGTGAGGAAACCAGAATCAGATATCCAAATGCAATGCACAAAATTTTTGCAAGAGAACTATTGTTACCTTTTCCATCTTCATATTTTTCTGAATGCAGATTAGTACCATAAATGATTTGCTGCTTAAAAAAAAAAAAAAAAAAAAAAAAAAAAAAAAAAAAAAAAAAAAAAAAAAAAAAAAAATAAAAAAAAAAAAAAAAAAAAAAAAAAAAAAAAAAAAATAAAAAAAAAAAAAAATAAAAAAAAAAAAAAAAAAAAAAAAAAAAAAAAAAAAAAAAAAAAAATAAAAAAAAAAAACAAAAAAAAAACAAAAAAAAAAAAAAAAAAAAAAAAAAAAAAAAAAAAAAAAAAAAAAAAAATTAAAAAAAAAAAAACCCAAAAAAAAAAAAAAAAAAAAAAAAAAAAAAAAAAAAAAAAAAAAAAAAAAAAAAAAAAAGTCGGTTGGATATAATGAAACCGGGAGACTTGAGACAAGTATCAAGCGCAAGGAACTCGCTAAATTTAAAATAAAAAATTACTAATACTTAATAAAAAAAAACTTTCACTTCTTGAATTTCAGTTCTCCATGTTTGAAAGTTCACTTACTGTGTTGCTCAAAATTTCGTAGTCATTTCTTCCTAAAATTTATCATTCAAGTTTCTTTCGTGAATATTTCAATTTTTAAATATTAAAAATTATGAATATGCTAGGGGAGCTTAAAATTTTTAGAGAAGACTGGGTGGGGCATAGCACAAAAAAGGTTGGGAAACACTGCTCTAAATTATGAAAATTTTGCTGCCCTTAAATTTGAGAAGAGGATGTGCTGTTGCACTGGTTGCACATTCTCTGCCGCTGCCCTGGTGTCACTTATATGAATGGACGATGCATTTATACATCCACACACACAAAGAAAAATA